CGATCTGAAATCATCTGCAAGTAATCCTCATACCATGAAATAAAAATATTGTTGATGTCAAGAAAAACAATCAAACTACTAAAATTCATCAATAATTGAAATGTCCATATAATGTCAGTCTAAATATTAAAATTCATTTGACAATAAATATAAAACAATTAAAATTTAAAGTAGTCGACTGAAAATTCAAATAACTGACAGATTAAACATTTAAAAAGCAAAGATTCCACTTAAAAAATAAATTGTGAATATTTCACATAGTTTCTCTTTCAATGTTTTTAATTTTTAACCTAGCAATGCATATTCTTACATATGGAAAACTGACTACATGTATTTACACATGTAAAAATGCTAACTTATAAGATTTATTCCTTAAATACTGTAGTTTGATTTTGTTCTTTTTCTACTATTACTTTTCATTTATTGATATATTTTTTTATATTAAAGCAGATTATATTTTATATTCAGATAAGTTTCGTAAACATTTTGACATTTCATAATTTTTAATACTGGATCTAAACGAGACCATAGCAGAAGTACCATGCCTGGTCTCACTACTGACAGTCCCGATACACATTGTCACCAACTTCTTTTATTTAAGGCAATAGCATGGGCTGTATTAATGCTACCAGACATCGACTATTAGCCTTACATGTTGCAATTACATGATTAATATTGGTAACTAATTCAAGCAGTAAGACCTTTTAGTTATTATATGTGTCATATAACCACAAATAACATTAACAATAAGTCTAAATTTCACTTAAATCTGTCATTCTTCAAAGACAAGTCTTTACTGAAATGCCAACCTGTAGACGGTAAAGACAGAATGTTATGGCGGTAAAGACATAGTTTAGTGCTTGGATGTCATAATTATAAGTACACATTTGTATGGTCTAAGCCCTGGGTTTAGTGATGTATTTGCTGTATATTCTCAATAATTTATGCTTATTAAATTAATGACAAACTTTGACAGTTATTGTAATGTCGGTAAAGACTCTCCAAAAGTGCGACATTTAGCTTTCAGAACTTTAAAATTCATGTTCTGTCATTTCATCACATCTTCTGGCTAAGGCTTTATGCCAGAGGGACACTCAAAACATACTAGCACTTTGAAGTTAAAAAAGCACCCTCTATATGGAAAGACCTAGTGGATTATCTCCCTTTAAAAAATAGGTATACGGTAAAGACACTGAATTTCAAATTTTACGTTCAAAGTTTGATGCCACATAAAAATTTACCTTTGGTTAAACTTTACATATTGTATGTTTAATATTAAAGCTCAGTGCTCCATGTTTTAAACCATTTAAATATTTGTTGATTTGAATGTCATATTTAATATTGAAAATATGTTTTTTCTCTCTCTATATAAAAATTTTGTCATGTCGGTAGGGACATTTAAGGATGTTTTTTCCACAGAAGTAAATCATATATTGGTTGTAGAATGAAAATAGTATGTGCCCTCCAAACCTAACTATATTTCACATATTCTGTGTAAGATTTATTACCATCAGATCATTAAATGTGACAAAATATTGTGTTGACTGTTTTGACTCCATTTTGTGAAAAACACCCATTTATACTTCAGTGGTACGCACGATAATATATAAACAAATTAAATCCACAATAAAGACAAATATATAAATAATTGCAGCCCGACTATGGTACGAAGTATAAAACACGTAGTATTCACCAAGAAATGAATTACGTATAAGAACAAACAAATGTAACTACAGCACATATAAATCCATGTATAAAGACCTACACTTAACAAAGACCGATCTGCCGTAAAACACACGGTCGAACAAGAAATCGCAGAATAAATTGGATTTAACACCTACGCGTCAGATAAAGCCTGTTGGTCCTTGATAAAACACCTTTGGTGCAGTTATAACACGCTTTCGAGAAAACTCACCAAACAAAGAATACACACCGTGTCAGTCGTTGTTAACTGGCTTATGATATCATAGTTATTAAGTATAATGTATCACCCATCCTATGAATTCTTGTACCAGTAGTTATGAACTGTAATTTACATGTTGAATACCTTGAAATTATATTTTAAAATAGTAACTTTACATGGTTAATGAATTTTAATTTATATGTTGAATAATTTTAAATCATATTTTGTTTTACTTTCATACAACAGTGATATTAAATTGTGTTTTTGGAATTTTGTCATTAAATTGTGTTTTTGGAATTTTGTCACACACGTAACGTTACTGTGTAATACAAATCAAACACTTGTATTTTCAATTATAATTATATTGCCCAGACTCAAATGAATATCTTGAAGAAATATAATTAATGTGTCAGTTTAATCTGTAATTAAAACTTAAATAGATTTTTGGTAATCATCAGATCCATCAAAAAGAAATGTTTTACCAAATCCTTACGTGTGACATGAAATTTTCAATTATCTACAAAAAAAATAAAAATATAATTTTCTTTTATGTACTTTTTACCTAATAAATTTTACACATAACTCCATTTGAGTTTGTTTGGAAAAGATAATTTGTGTTCTGGACATCTTTCATAAAATATGGTAACCAGCGGCTGCCAGGCAGGATATGCCCACATTTTCGAGAGATGGATAGAGAACAAGCTAAAGAGAAAGTGATTTTTCCTACAATCAAGGGGCATAATTCAGGAAATTACAATTCGATATGCGCAAAAATATCGAAAGGAACCAAGATCTTTCTGTTATAAACTTACATTTCAAGTTTCAACAAAATCGGATAAAAATTGTGACCTCTATAGGGTCCACAACCTTTATATACCATATTTTTAGGCTATTTGAGAACGAAGGGTGGCCATTTTGTCTGTCAGTTTGGGCCGATTTTCACGAAATTCGAACTCGGCTGTCCTTAGGGTGTAACGGTGATATAATAATACGTTTTTTTAAATCGGATAAAAATTATGACCTCTATAGAGTCCACAAGCTAAAAACGTGATTTTTCGTACCATCAGGGGCCATAATTCAGGAAGTTACGGTCCGATATGAAAATGTGGGCGTATAAAAACAGGTATTTTGGGTAATCCAGTTCCGTCATGAAATTTTTTGATGAAATTTGTGTATCATCAATGACATTTTGATATTTTAAAATGGTAATGAATATGTTCTTTTGGAAATATAAGTGTTTTGAGTTATTTTTATATATCTAATTTAAAGCATGTCAGGACCACTTTCTGATGAGTCGCCCTATTCAAACATTATGAGACGAAATATACGCTCCTATTAAACATTCTACCTCAACTAGTAGGAGAGTTTTTGTGTTCCAACGTCTCGACCAATCAAATTGCCTATTGCTCTGCTTACCTCGAGCAGAAAATGCTTATTATCGAACTTAGCCCAGGTATTCATGTGATGAAACTATACTGATTTAATTAGAACCAAAGTTACCGGGTCCCAAAGCATCAATTTAATCAAATAGCTTATCTCTGCTTACCCTAAGCCCTATTAAAGCAGAAAATGCTCATCTTCGAACTACATCAATTCACCAAATAAATGCCTACACCAAATTTGAACATTCTAATACACTTAGGAGGGTTATTGTGTTCCAAAGTCTCCACCAATTAAACTGCTTATCACTCTGCTTACCTGGAGTCAAAAATGCCCATTATCGAACTTAGTCAAGGAATTGATGCCATGAAACTATACACAAAGTTATACTACTAGGAAGAATAAATATACCCATCTTCGAACTCTGACGAGGCATTCAGTCATTCAGAATCACCTAATAAACACTGACACCAAGTTTGAACATTCTACTTCTGTGACAAAAATAATTTTGATGGGCAGACAGGCAGACAGACTCATATAATAATAATGGTCCCCTACTTTCTTCGATAGGTGGGGGACAATTACTATTAATAATATGAACTGTAGCATAGACAGGAACCGCTATGTGTCGGAATCTGTCTTCTTGAATCTTAGTGTCTTGTTATTTGAGTCTAAATAGTCAACAAACAAAATGGCATCTATCGAAAAAACATATCTCCTAAGAAAGCACAATACTAGATCTTTGTACGATCTGGAAAATATCTTTCGTTAGGGTTAGGTTTACAAATTACATGTCAAACATACAAATTGAAGCTGTTAAAACAGTGGATTGTTGGTAAAACTATTCTGAAGGGTTAGGGTCAGAAGGCCATCTTTTCCCGGTAAGATCACAACATCAATGTTGATTTAAAGTAGCTAAGTCTCTAACTCAATATAATCAAAAATCTTCGACATTGAAAACACGATTTATTTGTCGGTTTAAATCAACATTGATGTTGTGATCTATACCGGGAAAAGATGGCCTTCTGATATCCAATATTTAAGACAAAATACACATTTTACAATTGGTACACGAATCGTGTACCATAATGCGTTTCAGCCCTATTTGTAATAGGGGACTCGAAAAACGAGGCTAGGCATATTCCACAAGTCATATGATATGTCAAACGGTGACGCTATATTCCTATCTGGAGAGCAAGCCCAATAAATAATATGGGCGTAGACAGGAATAACCAGACGCTAGAGATTGAAATTCGATTGAGAATACTGGCGTATTTCGCCGAACCCAATTGATTAAAAATTACAGTAAAAACAGAAACGTTTGAATGTAAATGTAAATCAATTTACATAACATTCATTATGGTGTGCGTTGCGACTCATTTGTATCAATTTCTAGGTTCCAAATATTAGCGACTTAAATTAGCTCCTTTAAACCCACAAATAATTCGTGTTTTCAGTGTCGAAGATTTTGGATGATATTTAGTTAGAGACTTAGCTACTTTAAATTTTAATAGATAGCTAACTTGTTTGCATTATGTCAAACTCAAAAGCTACCCGTGGCCGTACTGTAGTTACTTTAGTAGGCCTAACGTAAATTGTATCGGCTCCGGTGGTACCAGTGCAGCCAAATTACAGATATATTAATTTGAAATCTCACACTTTTCATACTGTCGATAATTATTAGTTTCTTTGCAAGCAAAACGCAATCTATTCATACCTCTCAAGAACAGAATCGCCTCTTCTCACAAATTTGTTTTTGCGTTGCCAGGGCCGCATTCGGCTCGTCCAAATGTTCAACAATGGTTCATCTAGGTCTCGACCATGCGCACCGAACACAAATTGGCAACCTATTCGCCTAGCGGCAGATTCGACCGATCAAGCTGGCAACCTTTTCGTTGGTAACCTATTCAGAATAAATACCAGAATCGCCCAAACTCATTTATATTTATCAACCAATAAAATCCAACGTTACATGTATTATGAAAGTAGAATATATAAAACCGTACACTATACTTCGATCCCCAATGTAAATCCGTCGGCTTTTCGGGTAGAATTCGTGGAACAAGCTTTATTTTGGAGATTTTGATGTTGACATTTTTTCCCAGGTTCGAATACAGGATGTCAGCAGAGCCTCGTCTAAGGATTTGGTCGTGCGCGGCAATGTCGGGCGAAGCCCGACCCGCGAGCACCGTAGGTTCGAGCGGCACGAACACAGCAGGTGTGGTCCCGCGCGGGGGATTTTGAAAATTGACTCCCTTAGACTCGATTTTTGAGCACTTAAAATATAGTTTCGGAGATTTGATACACTATTAGTTTTGGCATCTTGTTAAACCATGGATTGGTTAATTTCTGTAAAATCGAGATCAAAACACTGCTGCGGCTGACCCGCAGACAGAAATAACCCATAAAACAATCAGAAAGACGATTTTACGTACGGTTTTAAGCCAGGGACATGACAGATTATCAGCCTCAGGCATGCTAATTGGCACATGGGAAAAACCTTGTCAGCGATTTTCAAAACGTATGTATGTTGCCGCCCAATCTTCAACTTTTGGGCTCAGTAGGCGGCACAGTTTGACCAGAGCGCGGTGGCGGCGCCGCCTAGTCACCATGTTAACCGAGGCTCTGGATGTCAGGCTTCTGCGTGGATTAAAGTAAAAGAGTTTCAAATTCTTTATTTCGTGAAATACAACAAATAATTGACCGAAACGCGTATCCGAGTCGGTTCGTCTTCTTCTTACCAGTGGTAAACCAGCTAAAAATAAAGGACTTGCACCAAGTTTGCATCAACTATCCTGACGCCAACTATGTGCACTTTACAGAACCCAGAAATGGAGAGGGAGAGGGAGAAATGGGGTTTAACGTCCACTCGACACAAACTAGGTCATTTCGGGACTAACATATGGTACAATTTTATTTCAATAATTCGCTTGCGCATAGGGGTCTTTAGCAGTGGGAGGAAACCGGAGGACCCGGAGAAAACCCACGAGGTTGGACAGGCGACCCTACTCCTTGTCAGTACAACCGGGGATTCGAAACCACGCCAGTCGACTCAATGACAGACTTTATGATACAGCGCGCGCACGCTAACCATTCAGCCATCCCCCCCCCCCCCAGAAATGGGGCGTCTGCTGACACCAAATCTTATAACTTCCGAGCAAAACTCTCAGAATCAATTAGAACTCAGAACTCTAACAAAATATAAACAGTAATTCGTCTGCCTCAGCCCGAACCAGGGGCGGATTTGGGCCGGGAACCGTCCCGGGCTCCCGTGTCGGAGCGACCCCTTTTACTGACAGCAGAGTCCCGACGGGGGGGGGGGGGGTCCAGCGGCTCTCCCCCTGGAAAATTTTGAAAAATGAACCTCAAATATGGGATTTGGTGGCATATCTGATTATAATCTCTGTCAAATAATGTATCTCATACATCGATTAATTTAGGCCAAAACCCCGACCTGCAAGTAATTTACAACCATCAAGCTGTGAAATTATCATATCGTCATATTATTAATTAACGTATTATCATTGTATCGCCAAGAGTTAAGAGTCAAGAGAATTTAACTGGTTAAAAAATGGGACTACACTACATACAACATGATCATGGCCGGTCCAATACCCCCCCCCCCCCCCCACACACACACACACACATATATAATGTTCAACAGAAAAAGGTTTTTTTTAGACGAATTGGACAAAATGATTTTTTTCATTTTTTGTCCGACCGGCCCTTCGGGTGATTGCCCGATCGCCCGATGGTCCAATCCGCCCTGGCCCGAACTAACAATATTCGAACAAACGGAACTTTCCAATAATTAGAAACTCATAACTTTACAATAAAATATAAACACCATAGCATTATGCCTGCCTCAGCCCGAACTAACACTATTGGTACAAAGGAAAGCACCAAATCTTCTATCACCCAAACGGAACTCTCCAATAATTAGAAACTCATAACTCTAAAATATAAACACCATAGCATTATGCCTGCCTCAGCCCGGACTAACAATACTGGTACAAAGGAAAGCACCCAATCTTATATCATCCAAACGGAACTCTCCAATAATTAGAAACTCATTACTTTAAAATAAAAACAACATAGCTTTATGTCTGCCTCAGCCCGAACTAAAAATATTCGTACAAAGGAAAGCACCAAATCTTATAGCACCCAAACGGAACTCTCCAATAATTAGAAACTCATAACTTTACAATAAAATATAAACACCATAGCATTATGCCTGCCTCAGCCCTAACTAACAATATTCGTACAAAGGAAAGCCCCCAATCTTATATCACCCAAACGGAACTCTCCAATAATTAGAAACTCATAACTTTAAAATATAATATAAACACCATAGCATCATGCCTGCCTCAGCCCGAACTAACAATATTCGTACAAACAGGCGCGGATACAGCATTTTTTGCAGGGAGGGGGGGGGGGGTCTATTTGTAACGGGGTAAAATCAATTTGCATATATCCAATGAAGTTGCAGTATTTCTTAAAATTTCGATTGTAACTTAGTTTAAGTTTTCGTGAATAAGGGCCCTGGTGCGTATCGCGTATCCGTATTGATTTTGTGTGTGACGTCATCAATGCGTGTGTATTTCTCATACGTGATACGACACACGGATACGGCTGCACGTATCGAACATGAAGTTATTTCCAAGATGGCGACCATTTTTGGCGGGAAAATCGGACCATGTGCTGATTTTGATTAAGTAGTAGTGTTTGGTGCCATATGTTTTCGGGGTCACAGATTCCATTCCTGACATTTACAACCTTGTAAAATGATCACATGTTCACATACCTAGCATATTTCCAAGATGACGGCCATTTTTGACTGGAAAATGGGACGATGTGCAGATTTTGATTTTTTGATTAAGTAGTAGTGTTTGTTTTCAGGGGCGCAGAATCCATTTCTGACATTTACAACCTTGTAAAATGAGCACATGTTCACATATTTATCATATTTACAATATGCTGATATGCTGATTTCGATTAAGTAGTTGTCTTTGGTGTCAATATACATGTATATGTTTTCGGGGAGCAGATTCAATTTCTGCCATATACAACTGGGTAAAATGACGTATGTTCACCAATTTCGCATATTTCCAAGATGGCGGAACGTTTTCTAAACACATTATTATCATTTTTTTTAACTTTTCGTTGTCATTTACAGGTTTCTGAAGGCAAAGAGAGCGTAACGGCAGCGTGGAGCTTGCGCCAATAAGCGTGGCAAGAAATTGACACGCGCCCATCATGCTCATGCCACGACCACACCAAGCGCTTACTACGCCCAGCGCGTGCCAGTCAAGCTCTGGCTACGTGCAAAGTGTTCCACCATGCTCTTGCAGTTACCCGTCAGACTGGGATACGTTCTCACCACACTCCAGTGACGTGCCTACCGGGCGTAAGACGCTCTCTTGCCATGCCTACAGGGACTGTGTCATGCCCACCCCGTCCTCATTCACTTCCAAAACTGATAATCACCCAAAGTCAAGCAATCAAGAACAGTTTATAGTTTTCTTGGTGTTTCCTTTTTGGGTGCTAGACTGGAGTTGATGGACGAAGCTCAGTATCTTCCCTATATAGACATAAAGGCCGTAACAGCGTAGCAAGCATGCGGCCAGGAGCTTCGTTTCAGCCTGGCGGCAACGTGGTTAAAGGTGGTGGGGACGTGCCTGTAAGTGAAATACACGCTAAGAAGCCCTCGTGGCATATATTAATTTATCAACTGACATCCAAGCTGAATGTGGAACGAGCATGTGGAATGCTGTTGAGTTGAAAACATAAAGTATGTTACCACTTACATAACAACGTGGCCAGTAACTTTGACACCAAGGCCACCAGGTCTTTAAATGGCGATGGCAGAGATGGCATAAATTACTTGCACGTCGTAGTCTAAATGGTGATATAGTTTGTTTTTCCAACGTGACAACGTTCCTCCGAACGACTCCTTTCACACGCAGCTCGGAGCCAGTTGATAATATAATCTATGCCACAAAGGTTTCTTATAGCAAGTACATGTATTACTATTTCATTTGTAGTCCTTGTATTTATTTCTTTGTATACCGCTATATAATATACATTTCTGTTCTACTTTTTAATTTATTAACTACCTTTTCAATAGTATCACATTTTTAACCATCGTTAATTTTGTATCTATAACTGACAGACAACATAAACTGAAAGTCTCGATGAAGCCACCAAGTTTTAAAATCAGATTGGAGTCGAACGGCTAAAACGCGATCGACCAAATAAATGTGCTATTTTCCTAGTACTGGCTTTCAGGAACATGCTACAAGCTTATATATAGCAGAAATGGATTCAGAAACCTTTTCAGTAATGTGTTTAGAAAATGTCATGCTAGAAAAGGCGGATGCTGAATGGATGAACACATCATCATTTCACGCAGTTGTAAATGGCAGAAATGGAACTGCCGTCGAAAACATATATTGCACAAAAACCCGACTACTTAATCAAAATCAGCACATCGTCCATTTTCCCGCCACAAATGGCAGCCATATTGGAAATGTGTAAAATCGGTAAACTTGTGATCATTTTACACAGTTGTAATTGGCAGAAATGGAATCTGCGTCCCGAAAACATATATCCTGATACCAAAGACGACTACTTAATCAATATTAGCGCATCGTCCCATTTTCCCACCCAAAATGGCCGTCATCTTGGAAATACAGTAGAACTTGCTCGGGCGTGCACTCTTAATCAGCGAACACTTGCTTCAACGAGCACCAAAAAATCCCCCCGAGTGATTTTTAAGTAATTTAACCCCTACTAAACACGCACCTGTTCAACGCGTGCAATGGACATCACGATTAATTCCCCCTGTAAAAATTCTACTGTTTCAACGGTCACTCCTCTAACGCGGCCAGTGGTCACTATTTTACTAATAAATTCAACAAAACATCGCCCATTCAACGGCCATTGTTGAATGATACCATCTTGTCGTTCGTTCTTTGTAACACTCCCGCTAATCTCGTGAGTAGTAGTTAATTAACTTGACCCCCACTGATCAGGTAAAAAGAAATGTAAAAATAACAACCAACCCGGGATTATCTGTTTATTAATCTTTTGTTTTATTAAACGACTAACCTGATCATTGTTTTCACGCGTAACGACACATTATTTGATACTGATTGAATAAAATGAAAGTACAGAGTTTTGTCACGATCATCTAGTATCTCTTTTCCATTGCCACTTTGTTGTTAAACATACGTTTTAGCGCCCCCTATAATATTACATAAAGAGTTACACCCCCTGTAAATCGGTGATAAAATCAGCGATGGTTTTTTGTTCATGTGCTTTTTTGATAAAATAAAATTAATTCATCGATTTTTTCTTCACAAAAATGGATAAATATTATCAAATGCATCACAATGGAAGACAGTAGTATCGAAGGTTGGTACAAAATGACAAGTTTACAGAAGTTATGTTCGAGATTTGAGTAAAGAATTTTCGTTCGGCGCAAGATTCAGCGACGGTCAAATTTATCGATGCAAGTATTGATGTTCGCTCCCATTGCACCCAAGCATAATTTTATTAAGCGGTCGCGTAATCGCTAAAATAGTTGGGGTGGGAAATACTCAAATTCACGACATTTTGAAACACTTTTAGACGCTATGATTCAGTATGATGAAAGTAAAAGAAATATTGGGGGGCTAGAGATCCAGTATTACTAAACAAACATGTATACGCGACTACTTTGAATTCACAACTAGATAAAAAGTACATGGATTGTTATTGTTATACTACAGGAATAAAAAAATATATGCAATCTTTATCTTTATTTTTTGTGGTAGGGGTTCGGGCAATATGTGATACCTCTAGTCAAAGAGCACCTCCATTAAGCAAGCATTTTTAAATTTCCCTTGGGTGCTTGCTTAATACAAGTTCTACTGTATGCAAATAGGTAAACTTGTGATCATTTTACACAGTTGTAACTGGCAGAAATGGAATCTATGCCCCTGAAAACATATATATTGACACAGTGGCGGATCCAGGGGGGGGGGGGGGACTAGTCCCCCCCCCCCCCGGGAGATTTAAAAAACGCAAAATCGGACAAGTTTTGGGGTTTTTTTTAATTTTTTTTATTCTTTTTTTTTATTAAATAATTAAGTTAAATACGTATACATACATGTTGACACAAAAATGGAAATCATATTAAATGTAGTATTTAAAGTATTATAACGTTAATAATATATATAATATTTCTTTTTGGTTTTATTATCGCCAAAGAATTCCTTGAACCAATGCGGCCCTTGGTCACATGTCTGCAGGGCGAATTAATAGAAGTCTTTTTTGGCTTCCAGAAAGTCGAAGATATAAAACTTCATTATGAAAGCATGCACCTAAATGTGGATGCCATTTTTAGTGCCGTGTATCAGGAAGCAATTACTGTTGCTGAGAAAGTCGGAGCGTCGGCGGGTAAACCAAGGCTGTGCAGCCGCCAAACCAACAGAGACAATATTCCATCAGATTCTACCGAGGATTACTGGAAACGAACATCATTCCGTTTCTTGACGTTGTCTGTGCTGAAATGAAGTCTCGCTTCCATGAAAGTAAGAGGGCTCATTACGAACTTTGCGCTCTTCTTCCCGAAATAGTGGCTAACCGCACAGAGGAAGAGCTGCATAAACTGACTGAAACCTTGCTCACCAAACGGGGACATATCATGCCACTTGAATGCACGTTCAAGAGCGAACTGTTTAGATGGTTCAATTATTGGGGGCATCAGTCATCGATCAAATCACGATCAGTAACTGAAACTCTCGCGACCGACGCCGATGCAACATTTTTTCCGAATGTCCGCGCGATTTGTTGACAGTCCTTGCTGTACTGCCGATCGGAAGTGTCGAGGCGGAAAGGTCATTTTCTTGTGTACGCCGTATTCATAATTGGCTCAGGAATTCCATGACAATCGAGAAACTATCAGACTGTGCCGTTATTGCCATGCACGGGTTCGCGATACCAGTTTCAAACGAGGACATTTGCAAAAAATTCATCGCCGCATTTCCTCGCCGAGTGAAAGGATCATCACTTTTGTCTGATTGATGCTTGTGAGTGAATGATGTGCAAAATAAAGTGATAATAAAAAAAGATATTCGTAGTATTAGTTAGGCCTAGGCTACCTGTTTCACTTACCATTCTATGTGCCTAACGCCTTTTTTGGTCTGCAGGGAAAATAAATATTCATTTATTTTGAAAAAAAAACTTGTCACTTTATTTCTTTGAGAATTATTGCCCAGAAGATACCTCAGATAGCACAAAATAGTTTTAACCCCTTTGGACACCCTATGCCCCACCCCTTCTAGTGCTCCCGCCTTTGGTCGACCGCGCTTCGCCCCTGACCTCTTTTAGTCACCCCCCTGGAATAAATCCTGGGTCCGCCACTGTGACAGTGTGACACCAAACACTACTAATAAATCAAAATGAGCACATCGTCCCATTATCCCGCCAAAAATGGCCGTCACCTTGAAAATATGCAAATAGGTAAACTTGTGATCATTTTACACAGTTGTAACGAGCAGAAATGGAATCTATGCCCTTGAAAATATATATATCGATACCAAACACTACTACTTAATCAAAATGAGCAAACCTAATCGGACTACTACTACAATATTAAGCAATTCCTTTAGCTCAGAATTGAGGTGTACTTTCGGATTATCGTACAAAATTCTGGTTTATTCCCACGAAGGCGCAGTTATTGACCGTAATGGATTAAACGAGGTCGTTTTCGACGACTTCATGGGAATCCAGCTCCTAGGGATTAAAGTGGATTAAAATCGTAACAATGGTGTTATAGATTGTTATGATAAGAATTTACACTTTCATAATCCCCAATGTAACTAATTAACCAACATTTTAGCACCATTTTTGGCATAAGAAATGAAAACATAACTACACTATAACAAAGATTAATTTAATTTCGCCAAATAAGACACCCCGTCTAAATACTCGACTAAAGTCAATTCCTCTTCCTCGTGTCTTCCTTTCAATTCATGGAGCTGGCTTTGGATTTGAGCATATTTATATATCTTCCTTGGTGGTTAATATTTTGTTCTTGTTGTAAAAATGTGATCATTTCAAAAACATTCGGATGGGCTTTTCAAACTAGCTTCTTGATTCTTGCATGCCATGCTTCCAGAGTATTGTTGGTTCAGAGTGAACATAAATTCATAAAATCTTTAAGACCGTTAATTGGGTCCTAATAGCAACATGCCTCTCTTCAAACGAAAGTCGACAAGTCGATATCTGCGCCTTCGTGGGAAGGATTAATTTTGGTCACGCTCTGTAACTGCGCCTTCGTAGGAATACACCAAAATTCTTAGCATCTTACTACATATGTTCTGAAAGGTAATAAAATAGGCTTTCCAAATATTATTTATAAAAGTTGGCACAATGATACGGTGGCTGATAAGGGACATGAAAAATAATATAATTTGTTTTTTATAATTTTCACCCAAGTCAATTTTAATTTTCACCCAAGTCAATTTTAATTTTCACCCAAGTCAATTTTAATTTTTACCCAAGTCAATTTTAATATAATTTTTTTTTTATAATTTTCACCCAAGTCAATTTTAATATAATTTGTTTTTATAATTTTCACCCAAGTCAATTTTAATTTCCACCCAAGTCAATTTTAATTTCCACCCAAGTCAATTTTAATTACCACCCAAGTCAATTTTAATATAAATTTTTTTTTATAATTTCCACCCAAGTCAATTTTAATTTTCACCCAAGTCATTTGTAATATAATTTCAATTCTGTTGAATTTCCACCTAGCGCGTGACGTCATCTCAATTAGCCTCGTTTCCAATGTAATGTATTATGTTTTATCTTATATGGTTCTCATACTGTAATTAGCAGATTGCAATGTATTATGTTTTACCTCATATCAAATAGATACTTTTATACGCCCACATTTTCATATGGACGTATATTGTCGTCACCCCTGTCCGTCCGGACGTCCATCCATAGTTTGTTTGTGGACACTATACAGGTCACAATTCTTTCGATATTCGCGCTTATCGGATCTTAACTTTCTGAATTACGACCCTTGATTGTACGAAAAATCTCGTTTTTAGCTTGTGGTCTATCTAGAGGTCACAATTTGTATCCGATTTAAAAAAAAAACGTTTGAATATATCACCGTTACGCCCTAATGATGATTGAGTTTGAATTTTCTGAAAATCTGATCGAAACTGCCGGACAAAATAGTCGCCCCTCGTACACAAACTTTGAGAGAGAGAGAGAGAGAGAGAAATGGGGTTTAACGTCCACTCGACACAAACTAGGTCATTTCGGGACTAACATATGATTTAATTTTATTTCAATAATTCGCTTGCGCGTAGGTGTCTCTTTCCAGTGGGAGGAAACCGGAGGACCCGGAGAAACCCCACGAGATTGGGCGCAAACTTTGATGAAACTTAAAATATATATCCCAAATAACTCAGTAGATGTCGATATTCGCGCATTTCAGACCATAACTTCATGGATTATGACCCCTGATTGTATGAAAAATAGGTTTTTTATTGCTCGTTCCCAATCCACCTCTTGCAAAATATGGGCGTTTCTTGCCTGGCAACCGCTGGTTCTCATACTGTAATTAGCAGATTGCAATGTATTATTATTATGTTTTACCTTATATATATTAAAGAGATATTTTCTCATTCTGTAATTACATGTATCAGATTGTAATAGATTATGATTTACCTTGTATCAAATATTTATTTTTCTCATACTTTTATTATACTTTTATTATCTGTTCTTGTTTGAATTATATATGTCACCAGAAAAGCCATTACTTATATATACTATTCAAAAAAAGTAGGGGATATTTGATTTTTAAGTGTTATTAAAGTCACCTAATGAAACTGACAAAGAAACAAATGACAAAATGAAATGAAGTTCACATTCATCGATTTATTCCAAATGATCGTTAGACTAAGTAAGGCACAGACTGACCATTATAAGGGTAAAATGATACCCGGGGTCAAACAGCAAAGTTACCACAGCATCACAACCAAGTCAGTAACGGGTAAATCCTCCTCTGTTTGCCAAACAAGCATTGATCCGACGTGGCATACTCCTAATGAGACGTCTAAGGTCATTTTGGTCCAGATTGTCCCATTCCTGTTGCAACGCAGCAGCAAGTTTTTGGACATTGGCAGGACGTTGTTGACGTTGACGTAACCTCTGTCCAAGCATGTCCCAGACATGCTCGATGGGGGAGAGGTCGGGACTCAGTGCTGGCCAAGGTAATGTGGTGATGTTCTGTTGTTGGAGGTAACCTGTAACGATCCTGGCCCTGTGACATCTTGCGTTGTCATCCTGGAAGACGAAACGGCGGCCATGACGTCGAGCGAACGGCACAACATGGACTGCCAAGATGTTGTCCCGGTAGTACTGGCCTGTAACACGCCCTGCAACAACATGTAAAGCCGTTTTTCCAGCAACAGTGATGCCTCCCCACACCATAACAGAACCACCCCCAAATCGATCATGTCTGATGACGTTAACGTCTTGGAAGCGCTCGTTTCAACGACGCCACACCCTCCTACGTCTGTCCAAAAAATCAACAGTGAACCTTGACTCATCTGAAAACATCACATTGCTCCAGCGTCGATTATCCCAGTGTTGACGATCCCTACACCAACGACGTCTTGCCTGAATGTGATGATCTCTCAAACAAGGGATCACGCGAGGACGTCGGGCGCGAAGGTGACCCCTATGCAGTCGATTCCGAATCGTCTGGCCACTCACTCTCACACCAGTGTCTGTTTGAAGACGAGCGCTGATCTGATTTGCTGTGATGACACGATTTCTCAAGGCCAAGGTACGGATAAATCGATCCTGGGCTTGAGTTGTCGCCCTTGGTCGACCTGAGCGTGGTCTGTCCTGTACAGATTGTGTATCACGGTATCTGGACCATAGCCTGCTTATGACAGACTGAGAAACATTCATCGTCCGCGCCACAACCGCCTGTGTTGTGCCGATCTGTAGCATGCCAAGGGCACGTAATCTTTCATTTTGGGTAAGCCGACGCATATCAAAATTTGTTTTCTGGTCACTAAAACAATTAAACTGATGTTTCCACCCTGGAATTCAATGCCACAATGACTGTAACATTCAAAGTCAGAGTCGTGCAAATCTTGGGTTGGACCCCCATGATGATCCCAAGCATCACCTGCATTCCATGCGGTAGCTATTGGTGCGTTTGGGCGTCACATGTAACTGGAAATGTTTCTTCTGTTAGGTTCTATAGTGACTTTTTTCGTAGTCATTTGCATATTTTAGTATTATGCCCCCAAAATCAAATATCCCCTACTTTTTTTGAATAGTATATATAGTGTAATAAAGATTTTTGATATTATAACATGATGACTTTTTAGGTGAACACAAGCAGGCCTGTCAGCGTATCAGAGCCAAAAATGAGGCTTGTAATAACACTTCATTCTCGCGTGAAGATATCGCTAGCCCAGAGATTCATACAATAGTTGTTATATAAATCCAGAGACAAGTATAAAGTTACGTGATAGGCTTACATCATCCACGCTCTTCTCTAGAACCGCCATGTTTGCATGCATGAAAACGAGGCTAGTAAGTAACACGTGAGTTATCACCGAGGTGATAAGTTATCACCTAGGTGAAAACGTTTTCACCTAGGTGAGAACTAAAAAAAAAACCTAAAACTAAAAAACAAAACCCAAAACTAAAAAATATTTAAAGTCGTATATGGGCCACCGTACCTAGTACATTGGCGAGCATGTAAAATAACTCTTGACAGTTGAAATTTCACGTCGTGCCGCTGACAGAGGAAAATGTCCCTTCTGGCATACTGATTTCAGTAACCCAGTCGGAGTAGGACGTTAAACCTCCATTTCATTTTATTTCAATACGTTTCACTGTCAGATCCCGACTAAGATTGTGTCGACCCCTGCACGTTTATTTTCACAATGGCGGGCCAAAATTAGTGTTTTGGAAACGAGGCTAATTGAGATGACATCACGCGCTGGGTGAAAATTCAACAGAATTGAAATTATATTACAAATGACTTGGGTGAAAATTAAAATTGACTTGGGTGGAATTTAAAAATGACTTGGGTGGAAATTAAAATTGACTTGGGTGAAAATTATAAAAAACAAATTATATTAAAATTGACTTGAGTGAAAATAATACAAAACAAATTATATTAAAATTGACTTGGGTGAAAATTACAAAAAAACAAATTATATTAAAATTGACTGGCTCGCTAGCCTGGAGGTCGGGTGTTCGATCCCTGCATTGGCCGAGAAAATTCATCCAGATTTTCCGGCGTGGTTCCCCCTTGTCAGTGATGCAGGATGGAGGTCCTGACAAGGACAGCTGTCTAGTCGTTCGGATGGGACAAAAAACCGAGGTCCCGTGTACACATTGGTGTGCACGTAAAAGATCCCTTGGCAGTTGGAATTCGATATAAGAGTAGGCCGTAGTGCCGCTGCCCGGGCAAAATTTCCCTCATAGCACACTGTATGGCGTTTGCCCGTCTTCATTAGCCCAGGTTAGGAGCAGAACAGTAGGACGTTAAACCCCATTTCATTTCATTTTATTAAAATTGACTTGGGTGAAAATTAAAATTGACTTGGGTGAAAATTAAAATTGACTTGGGTGAAAATTATAAAAAACAAATTACATTAAAATTGACTTGGGTGAATATTAAAAAAAACAAATTATTTATTTTTCATATCCCTTATCAGCCACCGTACAATCATATTAAAAGGGGCGCACTCTCATCCTAAACGTCGCCAATTTTTCAAAATTTTAAAGTGAAAGACCGGTAATATTCCCTGTCAAAATTCGGATCATTGTACAAAATTTTGATGATCCAACTACATATATTCTGAAGGATACTTAAGTAAGCTTTCCAAATATTATTAGTAAAAGTTGGCACAATCATATTAAAGAGGTGCGCTCTCATCCTAAACATAGCCAATTTTTAAGAATATTTTAAAAGGAAAAACCGTTAATATCCCGAGTCAAAATTCGGACGATCGTTCAAAATTCTGATGGTCCAACTAAATATATTCTGAAAGGTAATTAAATAAGCTTTCCAAATATTATTAGTAAAAGTTGGCACAATCATATTCAAGGGGCGCGCGCTCTCAACTCGAACACTGCCAATGTTTCAATATTCTAAAGGGGAAGACAGTTAACATTCCGTGTCAAAATTCGGATCATCGTACAAAATTCTGAGCATCCAACTAAGAATATTCTGGAAAGGTAATTGAGCAAGCTTTCTAAAACAATTTAGTAAAAGTTGGCAAAATCATATTAAAGGGGTGCGCTCTCAACCCGAACACTACCAGTGTTTCAATATTCTAAAGGGAAAGACAGTTAATATTCCGTGTCAAAATTCGGACCATCCAACTATATATATCCTGGAAGGTAATTAAATAATCTTTCCAAATGTTATAAGTAAAAGTTGGCACAATCATATTATTAGACCGGGAGCCCAGCGGGTCATCCTAGCTGAAAAGTGTACCAATTTTCTCCTATATGGTGGTATCAATGTATGTATATCTGGTATCATCAGAATGTAAGTCTGCCGGGTTTCTGGTGGCGGGTGTGGTATTCCACGCCCTAAATGCCATTAGGTATTACAAAAACACTCTGACAGACATTTCTAGTGGTGGGGTACCCCTGACAGAGCTATGTAATTGCCAGACATTTGTAGTGGTGGAGTATCCCTGACAAGAGTTATCTAATATTTAGACCAAAGCTAGACTAGATTAGCTCAAATCTGTACCACCTAAAACAGCTTTGGAGTTGTTCAGTACCACCACAGGAGTCATGAATGACCACTGCCAGACAGTTTGTGCGGTGGGTATACACAAATAAAAAATTTGAATTGATCATTGTCAGGAAATCACCTAAAACCAGTTCATCTACCCTGTTTGTTAATATACTAAAAATGCTTTTTAGCCATTACTTGTCTTCTGTAACAAGAACCACAACATAAACTTTTCATAACATAATTAGTATACAACCCAAAAATATAATATGATAGGATAATGGACTAACATTTCCTGAAAAATTCATCCAGCAAACCAACTTCAAATTACTTTGAACTATTTTCAGTCTATTAAAATATGATGACTTTTTCAAGAAACCGAGCCTGTACTTCCTACATTTACATGATTATCCTTACTATCACTTTGCTCTTTACAGAACAGATTATAAGATGTTCCGTGATTTTTAAAGTTTGGTACCCGGAATACTGTCGCCCACATAATTTTCTTTTTGTATTGCCTATCCAGTCCTGTGAGAAAATATAATGCTTTGAGGAAATATAAATTCAATTAGCTGTTAATTCTGTGTGAAAGAAAAAAAGAAATATATATTATACTTATATTGAGCATGAATATCCAACTGTTAGTTTCCATGTGCGATTGGTATTAGCTTTTCAAAGTGATACGAGTGCCTATATTACTGTAGCAGTGTAGTTGTTTATAAGGTTGATCATTACAAACAATGTGCTCTAAAAGTTTATGTAATTAAGCAGTGATGACAATCATTTCAGACCACCTCTGAAACTTTTAGTCATGTTAAATATAGGCTGATATAGACATTGGAAAGTATACTAAAATATCACTTGCTTTAAAAGATACATATAAATACAGTTTAAATATAGATGGGGATTGGGGATCTGCCACTAACTAATGTATTTCTGATCTTATGGAATAGCCTCCCAGTCTTAAAAAATCCCACTGAGAAGAATGTCCTTCATAAAAGGATCCCATTATTAAGCTTACCTTAACTTGCTGTGAAGTTAAGCCTGCAGCTGACGCGACTGAATCAACACGGTTTTGAGTGGACTTACTCACAAAAGTAAGCCCACTCGAAAAAGTATTTTTCAGCTCCTCCAGAGCCTCCGAAGATATTCTTTTTTTCTAAAATATAATAATAATAATAATAAAAGTAATCAAATATGGAGTTTTAACTGATTGTACACTATATTTACCTTGGCTTTACTTCACAAATATTGTGCTCGTAGCTCTTGACAAAACATATCCACATAAAGACTTTAGCTCTGAGTTATAACTTGTTTAAAACAGAAGAGTTTTTGAATGACGATAAAGAGGTGCATTGACTTAGGTTAATAGGTAATGAGTTCCACCTTCTAACAGTAGCTACTTCAAATGAACGAAAACCAAAAGTCGTCATCCTGAGAGATTTTGATCCCAAATGGAATCCAGAGCCGGCGGAAGCAATTCTTGATTGTGGGGGCTACCATCCTATAGGTCATTAGGCGAAGGTTCAGGGGCCGCCTAGGCCCCGGAAGCCCTTGGGGATCTAGATCGTCGGAGACGCTTTCTAAGAGATTTCTGGCTAATAAAATTACTCAGCAATGAAGTGAAATTTTATTTCATTTTTAACTCCCTTACCATAAAAACACAATCTATGGTGGTTTAATCCTGTGATGCTGAACTTGACAAATATATGCCTAATGCATGATGAAACTTAAAATGTACGTTTATTACCGAAAGATCTCGGCTCCTTTCGATATTGGCGTATATAGGACTGTCGCCGTCACTTCTTGGATTATGGCCCCTGATTTTACGAACCGTGGACCCAGTAGAAGTAACAGTTTTTATTTGATTGTAAAAAAACATTCAATTATAGCAGGTTCAATTTTTTTATCCGAAATTGACGAGACTTGAAATATAGGTCTATCTCCCAAAGATCTCGGTTTCTTTCGAAATTGGCATATATTGGACCTTAACGTCATGGATTATGACCTCTGATTGTACGAAAAATGACATTGTTAGCTTATGGACACTTTAGAGGTCACAATTTTCACCCAGTTTTGATGAAACTTGAAATGTACGTTTGGTTCCTTTCCATATTCGCGAATATCTGATTGTAACTTTCTGGATTATAGCACCTGATTGTACGAAAAATCGCGTTTTTAGCTTGTAGTCCCTCTAGAAGTTACAATTTTTATCCGATTTAAAAGGCATTCGAATATATCACCGTTACACCATAATTACGGTTGAGTTCACATTTCCTGAAAATGAGACTGAGCTGCCCGACAAAATGACCGCTCCCCTAAAAGCATATAATATCCAGTTTAGATCTAAATATTAACGCCACCTGCAGATTTCGCCAATGTCACGAGATGTAAACAGGGCTAGCGCAAAGCCTAACCAAAGATCTAGCCCTTACCCTAACTCACAATCCTCTGCAACAATCACTTGCCCTAACCCTGTTTACATGTCGTGACCATGACGAAATCTGCCAGTAGCTTTAATATTAGGATCTGATCGTAATACCCAGGTTGTAGACCATCCAGCGGTTCGAATTTTTTATCCAATTTTGATGAAATTTAAAATATATATTTATATCCCAAAGATCTGGGTTTCTTCGATATTGGCTCGTATTGGACCGTAACTTTCTGGATTCTGATCCCGTGATTGTAGGAAATATCACGTTTTTAGCTTACGGGCCCTCTAGGGGTCATAATTTGTATCTTATTTTCAAAACTGTTCAAATATATCACCGTTACACAATAATTATTTTCGCAAAATCGGGCCGAAAATTCCCCGTCAAATAGGACTTAAATATGTACGGATTTTGTAGGCACTCAAGGTGGGAGGGGGAGGGGGGGCTACCATTGTTGCCCCATTCTGATGAACCTTAAATATGTTAAGTATCAAATGATCTTGCATGATAGGATAGCCCTTTTGATTTTACCTCGTCCCCGTCCATTTCTTACAAAATGTGGGCATAACTTGCATGGCAAATAAAACTCTATCCCGTCGTTTTTCTAATTACCTAATTAAGATGGACTTAAAATAAAGATCGACCGTTCAGCTATCTAATCGCGACCCTCGCAACCTCGGGTCTCTGAACCCTGGGAACAGTACAGAGCGTAGCAGGGTTTTCTTCATCTGAAAGTCTACGTTCTAGAAGTCTCACTTCTACTCACTTCTATGTTAAATTCAATCCTTTATGTTTTTAATAGAATAGTTACTTACGTGCAACAACCTGGAGAAAAGGGTACTTGCGGTCAAATCTAAGATTGAACAAGTTCACATAGATATTTAGGAACGGTGCCATTTACACGTTTAAGGAGTTTAAAATCTACTCAGTCAGAAACAGGGAGCCAAATGGAGATCTTTTAGAATGGGTGTGATGCGGCTGGATCTAGTTGATTAGGTCACCATCCTGGCAGTAAAGTTCTAAAGGCCTTCTTGTAGGCTGTGAAATTGGCATTGTAGAAGATCAACAAGAAGGCTTGCACTGGTTTATTTCCTCATGTTGTCAATGATGTGTCCTTATAACAATTTCAACAAGACGAAATCGTAATTAAAGCACAATCCAGGCATTCACCTAAAGTCAGGTTACCAGGCAACAAAACATATGCCCACAGCAGCTAAGTAGTCTGAACAATCCACAAGGGTTGTCACATTTTTTTCAATGAACATCAATAGCTTCTTTATCTCGTGAATATAAACACAGTGTATTGAAGACAGAGGAAGGGAGGGACACAGGCAGACAGAGGGAGAGACAGAGCGAGGGAGAGACAGGGCGGGTGAGACAGACAGGGATGACTGGATGGATGGACAGAGGAAGGGACAGAGAGAGGGAGGGACAGAGGGTGAGACAGATGCAGTGACCGAGGGACAGACAGTGTGACAGGGAGACAAAGACAGAGGTGGGGGAGACAGCGGGAGGGACAGACGGATAGAGGGAGGGGCAGATGGAGGGATTGAAAGATAGGAGGGGCAAACAAACGGCGGGAGGGATAGAGGGCGGGAAAGACGGAGTAAGGGAGGAAGGGCGGGACAGACAGAGGGAGTGACCGAGGGACAAGGATGGAGAGACAGGGAGGAAGAGACAGAGAGGAAGAGACAGGGAGAAAGACGGAGGCAGGGTCAAATAGAAGGAGGGAAAGACGGATGGTGGGAAAGACAGAGACAGGGAGAAAGACGGAGGCAGGGTCAAATAGAAGGAGGGAAAGACGGTGGGAGGGACAGACGGAGGGAGGGATATAGGGAGAGACAAACAGCAGGAAGGAAAGACGTAGGGAATGAGGGAGGGGCAGAGGGAGAGAGGGACACAGAGGGAAGAACAGGGGGACACAGAGGGAGGAACAGGGGGAGGGAGGAACAGACCGATAGAGGGAGGGACAGAATGGAGGACAGAGAGAGAGGGAGGGCGTGACAGACGGATGGAGGGAAGGATAGAGGGAGGGACAGGCAGGAGGACAGAGAGAGGGAGGGCGATACAGAGGGAGGGACAGAGGGATGGAGAGATGAAGGGACAGATGAAGGGATGGATGGACAGAGGGAGAGAGAGAGAGAGAGCGAGAGAGAGAGAGAGAGACATAAACTATGTCATTTCGGGACTAACATATGGTTTAATTTTATTTCAATAATTCGCTTGCGCGTAGGGGTCTTTAGCAGTGGGAGGAAACCGGAGGACCCGGAGAAAACCCACGAGGTTGGACAGGCGACCCTATTCCCTGTCACGTACAACCGGAGATTCGAAACCACGCCAGTTGACTCAATGACTGGCCTCATGATACAGCGCGCACGTGCTAATCATTCAGCCATCCAACCCCCCAAGTATGGATAAACAAGAATGCGAGAAGTAGTATTAAAAAGAATATTAATGGTGAAAAATAGAGTCTGTTTATAACGTTTCTTCAATAATTATGCAAGAGCTAAGTCTGCCTATTGCAGATCTTTCTTTAGGCCTGAAATGTTTTTAAAATTATTAATTAGACATTAATTAAGTTATCCAGGCCATAATCAACTCTCGACAAACGGAGGGAGGGATAGAGGGAGGGAAAGACGGAGTGAGGGAGGGAGGGCGGGACAGACAGAGGCAGTGACCGACACAATGAGGAAGAAACAGAGAGGAAGAGACAGAGAGGGAGGGACAGAGGGAGGGACAGATGGGGGAAAGGCGGAGGAAGGGACAGATAGAAGGAGAAGTGACAAAGGAACAGACAGGGGTGGGAGTGACCGATGGACAGGGAGGGAGAGACAGGGAGTAGAGACAGTGAGGAAGAGACAGGGAGAAAGACGGAGGCAGGGTCAAATAGAAGGAGGGAAAGACGGATGGTGGGAAAGACAGATACAGGGAGAAAGACGGAGGCAGGGTCAAATAGGAGGGAAAGACGGGTGGAGGGAAAGACGGAGGGAGGGATATAGGGAGGGTCAAACAGCAGGAAGGAAAGACGTAGGGAGGGAGAGAGGGGCAGAGGGAGAGAGGGACACAGAGGGAGGAACAAGGGGAGGGAGGGACAGACGGATGGAGGGATGGGGGGGGGGCAGAGGCAGTGACCGACACAGTGAGGAAGAGACAGAGAGGGAGAGACAGAGAGAGAGGGACAGGCAGAGGGAGGGATAGAGGGAGGGACAGATGGAGGAAAGGCGGAGGAAGGGACAGATAGAGGGAGAAGGGACAAAGGAACAGATAGGGCCGGGGGGGGGGGGGCTGACAGGGGGACAGGGAGACACGTGGCGGGGGGGGGGGGGGCAGGGGGCGAGGGACAGATGGAGGAAGGGATAGAGGGAGAGACAGATGGAGAGAAAGACGAAGGAAGGGTCAGATAGGAGGTACAGATGAATGTAGGCAAACACGAAGGGAGGGACAGAGGGAGGGCCAAGCACTGGGAGGGAAAGACGGATGGAGGGATAGAGGGAAGGACAAACAGCGAGAGGGAAAGACGGAGTGAGGGACACAGAGGGAGGAACAGGGGGGGGGCAGACGGATGGAGGGAGGGACAGTGAGAGGGAGGGTCAGATGAATGGGGGGGATAGAGGGAGAGACAAAAGGACGGACAGAGATGGAGGAACAGACAGAGAGATGGAGGTACAGGTGAGGTGTTGAGTGGACAAAGGGAGGGACAGATGGAGGGAGGGACAGGGGTAAGACAGATGGAGTGACAAAGGGACAGAGGGACAGGGAGGGAGAGACAGGCAGGCAGGGAGGGAGAGAGACAGACAGAGGGAGGGACAGAGGAGGGGGCGGAGGCAGGAATAGATAGGAGGGACAGATGGATGGAGGGATAGAGGGAGAGACAGACGGAAGGACAGAGATGGAGGGACAGACAGAGAGATGAAGGCACAGATGAAGTGTTAGGTGGACAGAGGGAGGGACAGGTGGAGGAGGGACAGGGGTTAAGACAGAGGGGGGCAGACAGAGGGACAGGGAGGGAGAGACATACAGGGAGAGAAAGACGGACAGAAGGAGGGACAGAGGAGGGAGGGACGGAGGCAGGGGCAGATAGGAGGGACAGATGGATGGAGGGAAAGACGGAGAGATGGATAGAGGGAGGGAGAAACAGCAGGAGGGAGGGACAGGGGAGGGAGGGACACGGGGACAGATGGGTGGAGGGAGAGACAAATGGATGGATAGAGGGAGGGACAGACAGAGGAAGGGGCAGACAGATGAGGTGTTGGGTGGACAAAGGGAGGGACAGATGGAGGGAGGGACAGGGGTAAGACAGATGGAGTGACTAAGGGACAGACAGAGGGGTACAAACAGAGGGACAGACAGACGGAGTGACCGAGGGACAGACAGAGGGACACTGAGGGACAGACAGAGGGAGGGAGAGACAAACAGGGAGAGCCAGAGATAGAGACACAGGGAGTGACCGAGGGACAGACAGGGGGACAGAGAGACAGGTGGGGGGACAGAGGGGGAGAGACAGGGAGGGGCAGAGACAGAGGTAGAGAGAGAAATGGGGAGGGACAGATGGATGGAGGGATAGAGGGAGGGACAGGGAGGGAGGGATAGACGGAGTGACAGACAGTTGGTGGGAAAGACAGAGGTAGGGAACGACAGACAGTCTTCTTCATCATGAAATTAAACAATGTTTATAAATTTAAAGTAAATCGGGTGATAACTTCAGTCTCTAGAGTGTCCATGGGTGATCAAGGGCTATAACTCTGGCTATAATTTTCAGAAATTGTTGAAAATGAATAGGCTTCTTCATATCATGGCCTAAAACGCTGTGTAAAAACATGACGTGAATCGCATCATAACTGTGGTCTATAGAGAGTGCAAAAGATTTTCCAAGTGATCAAGGGCCATAACTCTAGCCAGTAATTTTTGGAAATCATTGAAAATCAGTACGGTATGCGTCTCTGTCTCATGAAACACTGTATAAATTAGGTAATAACTTTAGTCTCTGGCGCTTCCTCTGGATTATTCAAGGGCCATAACCCTAGCAGTAATTATTAAAAATTGTCGAAAAACATATATATTATAGTCGGATGAAAAAACCGAGGTCCTGTGTGCACATTGGCATATGAAAAAGAACCCTTGACAGGTGGAATTCCAAGTAAGAGTAGGCCACAGGCAGGCCAAAATTTCCATCCCCATCTTCAAGATCTTCATTAGCCCAGTATGAGTAGAACAGTAGGATGTCATTTCATTTCTTTTGTCAATTGTACAGCATCGAGGGCCTAGAAGCAAGTAGGCCTATCTAGTAATTAGGATGCTATGCAAAACAAATATGCATAGAGGCCTACTGCCGAGTATTGGCATTGTTAACGAATAAAAGATCCCCTTGACTTGCGTGACACCGATGGAAATCGAAGGAGTATGGTGTAATTGCGACACTATACCCAGTAACCAGTTGGTGCAGAAAAGTATGTTAAACCCCATTTGATTCATTTATATTCTTGGCAAGAGCTGTACACAGGACAGGGAAAGCACATGGGTATGGGTAGCCCACTCCAGATATCAGGGGCCTCGTGCAAAAATTTTTTTTAGGGGGGCCCAACTTTCTGCATGTGTGTTCATGGTAAATTAAATTTACTGGCTGCGGAGAGTGTTGGCGGTAGCGCCGCCCACATCGAATGCAGTAGGCATGAGCATGCAAGGGGGGGAAATTTTAAAATTAGAAGTTGGGAAACGCCATTTCGATGGATTAGAGACAATAAAGTTATGATTGAAAAATGGTCGTTTTTTTAGTGATAATTGTAATTTATCACTCGAAAACTGAATTATATTTTATTCATCTCAACTTCGATTTAATTATTGAATGGACATTTCGAACAACTTCATGCATGGTCAAATACGTATTTAGATGTATTTGTATTTTAATAAAAAAATACTTTTAGTCTTTATTTTTGACACCCGTATATGGATATTTTATCAAATACAACATACAATCATAAATAGGGATTTACACAACAAGCACAAAATCAACTCTGTACGTAAACCCCCGGATGGCTTGGATTCGAATTGGATTTAAACAGGATTTCATTGATTGATTAAATTTTTAAATGGCGACGTGAGCGGAGATTAACCGTTACGTTGACGCCATACTCCCGGAAATTTTAGATCGAGGCTAAATGATAGAGTGTACGAAGCGAGTTATATAGAAATATAGCTCTATGGCGAGGCCTTAACAAATGATATCTAAATTAAAGTGCAATAAACTAAACACGGATAATGACAAATTATACAATTCCTGGAGACCATGTGATGACTAAAACAGACGGACAGGTCTTCTGTCTTAATAATATCAATAAAAATATTTTTATTTCACTGAGAATTTGGGGGGGGGGGGGGCAGGCATGACGCCACTGCTCCAGATTGTGGCTAATTAAAGTTAATGATGACTATGGTTCTATTAAGTCACTAAGTGCAAAATTAATTCCAGTTAACACTTTAGCCTACATTCTGTTAAAATGCAATGTATAATTTTTTTTAGAATAGAAACTAATACAAATTTTACAGAACATTTGTGAACGTTTATACTACAAAAGAAGCCATTATGGTTACAAGAAAGTTTTTTTAATGTGTTAAAAGCATGTCGATAGGTTACTATTGACCAATTAAACAACAGTTAAGGAATGAATATTGTTCTTATTTCATTGCGCTAACAGCGTCTGATAAGAATACCGTGCAGAATTCTATAGAAAATCTATAGGTTTTTTTTTTTGGGGGGGGGGGGGGCGTGTCCCATTTTCTATAGGATAAAATTCTATAGTATTCTACAGAATTTCGGGGGCCTGTAGGAAATAACAGCCCCAAATATTCTACAGTTTCTGTAGCGCACATCCTATAGTTTTTTCTACAGAATTATGGCAAAATTTCTATAGGAAAATACTATAGTATTCTATAGGTTTTTTTTATTGCACTTTCTGTAGGAAATTCTATAGTTATGTATAGTAATGAATACTGTAGTATTCTGTAGTTTGGAAATGGGGCCACTATAGTTTTCTGTAGGGATGGGTACATTGAATTCTATAGACTTTTTTTTATTAAATCTTATTTTGGGAATAAATATAGTTGGCCCATGATTTCTTCTAAATTGATAAGTTTATTTTTCTCTCATGGATTCTTCTGTATTTATACTTATCTTTCTATCTTTAATCGAATCAGTTTCTTGTTAATACTAACATATTAAGTTGTTATACACTGAATTTTTGAATTTTAAATTCAGCCAATGGCCAAACAGATTTTAAGAGAGTACATTGGCTGTTAATTATAGTTTGTCAACAGGTATGCACGGTTGACCTAGTGGCTTTAACAATTTTATATAATTTGAGTACAGAATCTGCTATAGTCATTCAAATCTAACTAGCAGGATCACCTAACAGTCAGACTGTGTTCAAATAAACTTTGTCTTTATTTCATTGACTTATCTGAAGAATCATTTATTATCTGATATTTTTGTTGTGAACATCTACATTTACTGGCATTTTTGGGTGGGTGGAGTGGGGAATTCCTTTGAGTGTCAACATGTATCACTATTTCATTCATATTATATACACTATTTTATACTTTATATTTTGTTTTTTGTGGTAAGCTTATTTTAGTTTGTCATTTGGTATCACACTAAATTAAGGAAAACTGCATCCAGGAAAATTATGTTGGAAAAGTTTACATAATTTACACAAGTGCATCACTAAATTCTATTGTAAACTTTAGTATGAATAAAAGACATCGCCAATTTATGAAATCTGTAGAATAGAACATTGTTTCTACAATATTATGTAGGAGTAGGCTATTTGTTAAAATGGTTTAAGTACAGTATACATATAAATTCTTAGTTTTCAACAGTATGTCATAGACAACTATAGGAATATACTACTGACTTGAGACAATAAGTTAGTTCTATAGAAAACTATAGTTTTTACCACCAAATCTATAGGAATCACAGCTGACATGAGAATATAAGTTAGTTCTATAGCAAACTATAGTTTTTAGCACAAAGGCTATAGAAAACTGGAGGATTACTGAACTGACTCGAGGATACAAGTTAGTTCTATAGAAAACTATAGCAGCACCAATGAATCTGTAGGTTTATTTTTTTCCAATAGTTTCTTACAGTATTCTATAGGAAATTACACTTGGAAAATATTCATCTACCAATCCTACACAAAACTATAGTACATGTTTTTGAATCTATAGTCATAAAAAATATACAGAATGAATTCGTTTTCCTGCAGCATTCTATAGACTTTTTCTGTTTTTCTTTCGCGTTCTCTTACCTAGTGGCAGTCAAATTTTTTTTTATGAATTGTCAGATATCCTCTCACAGTTTCACACAACAACTTTTGGTCTTCGAAGGAATTATTAGTGAGCAGAAATTCGCCCATGTATCTGTTATCACTCGTCACTTCAGTCAGTTATATAGAGGGATGACTCGTGTTTTCCTTTGGCGTTCGTCACTTCCGATTCAGGAAACCTGTATTACTCAGCTATCGTAGCAATGATCTCTGTGTTAAAATTATATTTGGAACGTGTTTAATCAGTTCTATCATATTATTCTGTGATAATCACTGACACCAATATTGTCCTTTAATCTGGCCTGAGGAGAGATCAAACTAGTTATTCGTTATATTATAATGTATTATGCATTTAAAATAAATTAGTTTTGTGGGAGGAATCGGGAGGTTTTCGAAGTGAATTCCGGTGATTATATGTGATTTCCGGTGATTGTAAATGAATTCCGGTAATAATGGCGGAAGAAATCGCTGGGCTGAAGTCAGCGGACGTTACGCTGAGCGGATGTTTTATGACCTTGAACCTCATCGTCGAAAGCTGCGGTTAACAAAACACAATGTTTAGCCGTTGAAGTGAGCGTACGGAATGAATACAAATGTCCGCAGTAAGCTACTAATCTATTTAAAACACTGAAGACACACAATAATTGGCACGAAATGAAACAGTCTTTATCACCCATTTCTGTAGCACCATAGATAATTTCGGAAAGTCACTGGAATTTTCCGCAAAACAGGTTGAATTAATTACCGGTTAAACCGCAAAACACTTTAATGTCAATTCTGTTTACCAACCATCGGCTGCGCTGCTGTTTCATTTTCTTGAGCCACTCAATACTTGGCATTGAATGAAAGAGTGTTTATCCCTCTTTCATGTGGCACCATGGATTATTCTTGAAAGTCCTCAGCATAATCTGAAATCCGTCCTAGGAAAGCAGTACCCCCCCCCCCCTCCGTCTTGTTTGTCAATTCTATTTTATTTTCTTGAGCCACTAAATACATGACATGGAATTAAAGAGTGTTTATCCCTCTTTCATGTGGCCAGTGGCGGCGCCGGGGGGGGGGGGAAGAGGGGGGAGGGGATTTGCCCCCCCCCCCCCCATTAATCTGGTCTGCCCTCTGTTTGCCCCCCCCCCCCCCAATAATTTTAGAAAATAAAAAAAAGTATTTGTGATACGTTTCGGTAATCAATACCTTCTACGGTGAATAAATCCCACATCCCACTCAGTCATAAACTTGCATGTTGTAGAGCATTTCCGACAGTCTATTTTTCAAAATTTTCTTGGCGAGGTCCCCAATGGACTCGCTACTTTGGCGATCACAAGGGGAATTCGTTGAGGTTCGCAAGTCCGTTCGTTTGACATTTTCTTCTCTAGTCGGATAAACTAGTGATCAGGCGACGGACGGTATCTGGTCAGATCTATTTATCTCGACGATCGGTACCTGGGAATTCTGTAAGACAGCATTTCCGGCAGTCTATTTTTCAAAATTTTCTTGGCGAGGTCCCCAATGGACTCGCTACTTTGGCGTTCACAAGGGGAATTCGTTGAGGTTCGCAAGTCCGTTCGTTTGACATTTTCTTCTCTAGTCGGATAAACTAGTGATCAGGCGACGGACGGTATCTGGTCAGACCTATTTATCTCGACGATCGGTGCCTGGGAATACTGTAAGACAGCATTTCCGGCAGTCTATTTTTCAAAATTTTCTGGGGGAGAACTCCCTACCTTGACGCTCGTGAGTGGGCTTCGTCGTGATTCGCAAGTCCGTCCGTTTGACACTTTACCTTATCGATCAGTGCCTGAAATACTGCCAGGATGCATTTCCGGCAACCTGTTTTTCAAAATTTTCTGGGGGAGGCCCCCTACCCCTAGTTGAAGCTCGTGCGTTTGCCCCCTTAACCTTGGACTTTGCCCCAGCTTTGCCCCTCCAATCACCGACGGCTGGCGCCGCCACTGCATGTGGCACCATGGATTATTTCTGAAAGACCTCGATTCAGTCTTAAATCCGTCCAAGGAAAGCTGCCCCCCCCCCCCTCTTTTATGTCCATAATCACCGAAAGCCCCCCCCCCCCTCCACACACACACACTCTTTCTTTGTGAACTGTGCTTTACCAAACTACCGCTACTATTTCATTTTCTTGAGCCACGCATAGAATGAAAGAGTGGTTATCCCTCTATCATGTGGCACCATAGATTATTCTTGAAAGTCCTCAGCATAATCTGAAGTCCGTCCTAGGAAAGCAGTAAGCAGTACCCCCCCCCCCCCCACGTCTTGTTTGTCAATTCTGTTTTACCAAACGGCCGCTGCTATTTTATTTTATTGGGCCACTAAATACATGGCATGGAATTAAAGAGTATTTATCCCTCTTTCATGTGGCACCATAGATTATTTCTGTTATTTCTGAAAGCCCTCGATTCAGTCTTCAATCCGTCCCAGGAAAGCTGCCCCCCCCCCTCCATAATCATACCAAACGTCTGCTGTTTCATGTTCTTGAACCACTCATTACATGGCATGGAATTAAAGAGTGTTTATCCCTCTTTCATGATGCACCATAGATTATTTCAGTCTGAAATCCGTGCTAGGAAAGCAGTACCCTCCCCCCCCCCCGTCTTGTTTGTCAATTCTGTTTTACCAAACGGCCGCTGCTATTTTATTTTCTTGAGCCACTCAATACATGGCATGGAATTAAAGAGTGTTTATCCCTCTTTCATGTGGCACCGTAGATTATTTCTGAAAGCACTCGATTCAGTCTTAAATCCGTCCAAGAAAAGCTGCCCCCCCCCCTCTTTTATGTCCATAATCATACAAAACCTCTGCTGTTTCATATTTTTGAGCCACCCAATACATGGCATGGAATTAAAGAGTATTTATTCCTCTTTCATGTTGCAACATAGCTTATTCTTTAAAATCCTCGTCATAATCTGAAATACTTCCGAAAAGCCCCCCCCCACTCTTTCTTTGTGAACAGTGCTTTACCAAATGTCCGCTGGAGTTTCATTTTCTTGAGCCACGCAATACTTGGCATGGAATTACAGAGTATTTATCCCTCTTTCATGTGGCACCATAGATTATTTCTGTTATTTCTGAAAGCCCTCGATTCAGTCTTCAATCCGTCCCAGGAAAGCTGCCCCCCCCCCTCCATAATCATACCAAACGTCTGCTGTTTCATGTTCTTGAACCACTCATTACATGGCATGGAATTAAAGAGTGTTTATCCCTCTTTCATGCTGCAACATAATAGTTTATTCTTTAAAATCCTCGCCATAGTCTGAAATACGTCCGAAAAGCACCCCCCCCCCCCCTACTCTTTGTGAACTGTGATTTACCAAACGTCCGCTTCTGTTTCATTTTCTTCAGCCACGCAATACTTGGCGTAGAATAAAAGATCGAGTGGTTATCCCCCTATCATGTGGCACCATACATTATTCTTCAAAGTCCTCAGCATAATCTGAAATCCGTCCTAGGAAGCAGTATCCCCCCCCCCTCTTTTATTTCCATAATCATACCAAACGTCTGCTGTTTCATGTTCTTGAGCCACTCATTACATGGCATGGAATTAAAAAGTGTTTATCCCTCTTTCATGTTGCAACATAGTTTATTCTTTAAAATCCTCATCATAGTCTGAAATACGTCCGAAAAGCACCCCCCCCCCCCCCTACTCTTTGTGAACTGTGCTTTACCAAACTACCGCTACTATTTCATTTTCTTGAGCCACGCAATACTTGGCATAGAATGAAAGAGTGGTTATCCCTCTATCATGTGGCACCATAGATTATTCTTGAAAGTCCTCAGCATAATCTGAAATCCGTGCTAGGAAAGCAGTACCCGCCCCCTCCCCCCGTCTTGTTTGTCAATTCTGTTTTAGCAAACGGTCGCTGCTATTTTATTTTATTGAGCCACTCAATACATGGCATGGAATTAAAGAGTGTTTATCCCTCTTTCATGTGGCACCATAGATTATTTTTGAAAGCCCTCGATTCAATATTAAATCCGACCATGGAAAGCTGCCCCCCCTCTTTTATGTCCATAATCAAACCAAACGTCTGCTGTTTCATGTTCTTGAGCCACTCAATGCATGGCATGGAATTAAAGAGTGTTTATCCCTCTTTCATGTTGTAACATAGCTTATTCTTTAAAATCCTCGTCATAGTCTGAAATACCTCCAAAAAGCTCCCCCCCCCTACTCTTTCTTTGTGAACTGTGCTTTACCAAACTACCGCTACTATTTCATTTTCTTGAGCTACTCAATACTTGGCATTGAATGAAAGAGTGTTTATCCCTCTTTCATGTGGCACCATAGATTATTCTTGAAAGTCCTCAGCATAATCTGAAATCCGTCCTAGGAAGGCAGTACCCCCCCCCCCCCCGTCTTGTTTGTCAATTCTGTTTTACCAACTGGCCGCTGCTATTTTCTTTTCTTGAGCCACTAAATACATGACATGGAATTAAAGAGTGTTTATCCCTCTTTCATGTGGCACCATAGATTATTTCTGAAAGCCCTCGATTCAGTCTTAAATCCGTCCCAGGAAAGCTACCCCCCCCCCCAGAAATAATCTATGGTGCCACATGAAAGAGGGGTAATCAGTCTTTAATTCCATGTCATGTATTTAGTGGCCCAAGAAAATAAAATAACAGCGGCCGTTTGGTAAAACAGAATAGGGTTAAAAATCTTGGTGTCTTTTTAGATTTAAGCCTAACAATGGAAGCTCGTGTAACCATGATCTGTGCAAAATCTGTTATTTTCATCTGAAATCCATCAGTAATATCAGACACCTGCTAACAAAAGATGCTACTCACACACTTGTCCGATCTTTAGTGTTTTCACGATTGGATTACTGCAATAGTATCCTTATCGGTCTAAACCAAAATCTACCCTCTAAACTTCAAGTTATCCAAAACAATGCTGCCAGGATAGTTTGTCAATCATCCCGACGATCTCACATTAAACCCATATTGAAGGAACTACACTGGTTACCAATTCACTCCCGAATTGACTACAAACTTCTTTGTATTGTTTATAGATGTCTTCATGGTTCCAGTCCTGCATATCTATCGGAGCTAATAAACTATTACGTACCATCCCGTAACTTAAGATCACAAGACATGTCCTTATTATGCATTCCAAAGTACAATCTACAAACTTTCGGTTCTAGAACATTCCAGTACAGTGCACCCTTTTTGTGGAATTCCTTACCCCATCATCTTAAAACAGCTCCATCACTTGAATCTTTTAAAACAAAATTAAAAAACTCATCTATTATTATTATTATTATTATTATAATTGACAAACAAGACGGAGGGGGGGGGGGGGTACTGCTTTCCTAGTACGGATTTAGATTATGCTGAGGACTTTCAAGAATAATCTATGGTGCCACATGAAAGAGGGATAAACACTCTTTCATTCAATGCCAAGTATTGAGTGGCTCTAGAAAATGAATTGACATTAAAGTGTTTTGCGGTTATCCGGTAATTAATTCAACCTGTTTTGCGGTTTATTCCAGTGACATTCCGAAATTATCTATGGTGCTACAGAAATGGGGGATAAAGACTATTGCATTTCGTGCCAATTATTGTGTGTCTTCAGTGGTTTAAAGCGGAAATTGCAAATTTTCTAAGAAAGTCAAAACGTAATTATTTCTATGTCTTTTGCTCAATAGGTTGTCAACTCACAATTATACGATCATAGGTGTCATTCTCACACTTACAACCCATTTACACAGGAAATAATAACACAATTACCTCCCAATTACCTCCCTTGTTTTCTATTCTCCACCATGGAGTAGCTTTTTTTCAACGTTTGAAAATGAAGAGCAAAATGATATTTTTGCCAATTTCTCAGCTGGCAATAGTGAATTATAGGATTAATGGGGGAGAGAGAGAGAAATGGGGTTTACCGTCCACTCGACACAAACTAGGTCATTTCGGGACTAACATATGGTTTAATTTTATTTCAATAATTCGCTTGCGCATAGGGGTCTTTAGCAGTGGGAGGAAACCGGAGGACCCGGAGAAAACCCACGAGGTTGGACAGGCGACCCTACTCCTTGTCACGTAGGATTAATAGGATTATTCTTTAACAAGGTAGGACTGTTTATGGATACCATCTATTTTCAGGCTTTATTTTAATAAATTTTAAAAATATAACTTAAAAATTTGCTATTTCCGCTTTAAATAGATTAGTAGAGCGGACATTTGTTATTCATTCCGTACGCTCACTTCAACGGCTAACATTGTGTTTTGTTAACCGCAGCTTTCGACGATGAGGGTCAAGGTCATAAAACGTCCGCTCAGCGTAACGTCCGCTGACTTCAGCCCAGTGAAGAAATCATCTGATACTGATACATTTTGATTTTGTGTTATGTAAAGATGACCCTGCTATACAAATAAAGAGGTATCGGTATACCATTTTTTTTAAATGACGATATTCATTTGATTTAACGTCTAAAGAGTTAATGTGGGATGAATATTATTTAGATTCTCCAATGAATCCGAACCAAACGTGTAACAGGCAAGAATGAAGAAGGGTACTATTTCAGTAACGTACCTCTACCAGTTCCCATGATCGTAGCGACTTGAAATTTTCAGGGGGTGTTCATGGGGCCTAGCCATGACCTCACACCAAATTTCAGCCGAATCTGTCAATAACTTTTTATTTTACCGTAGTTTAGCTTATAACGAGAAAGTTTATCCGATTTTGACGCCATTTTGTTTGTTGGCTATTTAGACTCGAATAACAAGACAGGGTTAGGGTTAGGGCTAGCCCTGTCTACATCTTTAGACTATGACGAAATCTACAGGTCCTAGCCCTTACCCTAACCCTTATCCTAACCACAATCCACATATGACGTCATTCGAACCTAAATAGTCAACAAACAAAATGGCGTCAAAATCGGATAAATTTATCTCTTATAGAAGCTAAACTACGGTAAAATAAAAAAGTTATTGACCGGATTTGGCTGAAATTTCGTGTGAGGTCATGGCTAGTCCCCGTGAACACCCCCTGAAAATTTCAAGTCTCTACGATCACAGGAACTGGTAGAGGTACGTTACTGAAATAGTACCGGCAAGAAGGTAGGCCTAAAGTTTTGTCACAACACCTGAAATGGAGGAGGGGTGGGTCCCTCAGAAAATCAATCACAACACCGTTAGTGCCTTTAGTAAGTTTAGTTTGGTGTCTAAACGTGAGATGATACTGAGTGGATGAAAATCAAAAATAATGACTTTGGAATTTGTAACTTTGGAAAATATGAAGCAAATAATCAAATATACCATTCAGCACTGCGCAGCTACAGGGTAAACAACCCAACGTGGGAAATCACAAAGTCTCACAGAGATACCTGAATATATACACTACAACCATCAAGTCTTCAAATTTTGAAAACTATCTTTGTTTTAGCACACCATGTCCATATAATTAAACCTTTTTTTTTTTTTTCAAATATCCTCCATTTTTTTCAAGGGACTATATATACCTTCAGAATTTTTGTATGGAGTACCATCATATAAACATCATTTGGATTAAATGTTTCGGGTCTGTATGGAAAATTGTAGATACTGCATCACAATTTCCTTGAAACTGATTTTGGTTTTCAGCAATTATTTATAATAAATTTGTTATCATTTGTATTACATCTTGCACTGACAATTAAACAAATTCTATATCAGACCCTCAAAATGATTATTATTCTAACATACATGAATAATAATCTATCCAAAATTTAGAAACAAACATTTTTGTTAACATTTACCAACACTTGACAACGGCCGCCATGATAGCTTAGATTTTGACAGTTCTGTTTTCATCAATTTACAGAATGGTCCATATGAATAATGTTGATATTAAAAGATGTGACAGTTCTTGCAAATGAAATGCAATAGTCTATAATATTACGATTTACCACCTGATGTAAGGATAATTGTGATAGTTAGTATATGTCAAAAAGTGTTTACCGCATTTTTATTTACCTTTCTGTGTCGAATTACCGCTCAAAGGAAGGATTGCTAGCATCAGTAAGTTCATGCATGACTTATTTTTTTAATATTATCAAATCCAGTAAATGACACCTCATTTGTATTTTGATATGAATTAATTGTATTCTGCAGTTGTTTAAATTAAAAAATTAAAAATTTGTATTTAAAATTAACACTTTGCTCATTGGTATTAGCATAAGGTCAAGGACATACCAGATATTCGGACAGAAAAGCTACCTACGAAACATTGTTTACATTTATACAACGGCGAAATGTGTTATTACTAAAGGGAATACGACATAATTGTATGTATGGTGATGTAAATGAAACCTTTGCATATCGATACAATGTTCCGCTAAGCGTTGTCAGTTTAATGATTATTCGCATCACTCGTCTAAAGATATGAAAGGTCATTTTCAAGATTGAAAAAGAAAATGGCAGATCCCAACCCCGTGGTAGCAAGGACGTGGAAATCTCACACTACAAGGAAATAGGAAAGCAACTTGAAAATCTAAGACTCAACTACTGTACTACATAGATCAGAGTATAAATAGAGAGATAATAGCTGTCCCCATGTTTTATCGTGTAACCGCAATTGTGCAAGAAAGTGATGAAACTGAAATTTTCGTTTACGTGATAAAACGCGGATGTACGAATTAAAGGGGTATTAACAGTGACATAGTGTATTGTGAGTAATAGAGTTTATTTTGGACGTTTGTATCCAAGGGCCACTATTCTGTGTTGGGAAATAATATCTTCAGCCTTGTTGGTGTTGAGAACTATGCAACAAGATAGTGTCACTGTACCTTACCCTTAATATTGACAAACACTAGGCTATACTGTCTGTAGCAATGCAAAAGCTTTTTTAAATTGATTGATGTCAGTATATGACTATAGAGACACACTTTTTTTTTAGGCAGTGGCTATTGTTACGACGAGTCGTAAAAATAGTCCTCTAGCTATTGATACAACGATGCTTTCAGAACCCTCCATCGGCGATGTAAAAAAACCCAACAGAAAAGTCGTAAAAATAGTCCCGTGGCTTTTGTTACGACCGTGATATTTTTCGTCTTATTCTGCTCATATTATTGGCGCAATTTTCAATAGTTTCATGCTTATTGTAGAGAAATTTGGATGGAAAGTAAAAATCTAGATGTGTTTTATTTTTTTTAAATCTTCCTCTTCCTCATACCAAAGATGATGTATATGCAGCAAAATTAGCGGTGGTTCTTAAGGGGCTTGTTATTATTATTGTATGATGTTCACAACACTGTGATTGTTACCAGAGCAGACAATTAGAGCCTAAAGCCCTCCAAAGAAGAATTAATACATTGGATGGTCTTAATATAGACTAGCCCAGGGTTTAAAAATTTTGACAAATTATTTTTATCTTTAAGTTTCTGATTATTGGTCTGTTTCATATAGGAATGGATGTTGATCTTGGTTTATTTGAAAGAATACAAAAAAAGAGACAACAGAATAGGGATGCAAATGATATACCAACATCACATGAGCATAATTGTGGAGATATTGTGAGGAATAGAATTGTTAATCTAGATGTTTCTAGCAGTCCAGAGCCATGCCATTTAATTCCCAAAGAAGATCAGTTATTTGCACATGACACACTAAGGTAATGACTTGAAATCATTGACTGTAAATTTCCAGTGGCTTTATTTAATAGTATTTAAAGCATTTCACTTATTGTAAAACCAGGATAAAACAAGCGTTGAACACTTGTAGCACCATGAATCTTCCTGTCAGACGTGGAGAGCGGGGACATGCTAGAAACGGTCGCCACCTCCAGCGTATGACCCATGCATCTTTTCTTAAGTAGCCTTGTGATCGTCTAGAATTTGTCTCTGGCTGTATTTGTAATTCTTTAACATGTTCTTTAATTGCCACTCTGACATTCCAGGTTGTCAGCTCCAAAATATTGTATGTTTAACAAACATGATGATAGGTACGGTTTCTACAGTTTTATGTCATATTATAGCTGAATACATAGATTCAAGCATAATACAATAACAGTAAAGTCATTCTATCAAACCCCATCCAGCCATACTCGTTGGGGCTAGTCTGCTGATAGAAATTGCGAAATCTTGTCCCTTCCAGAATCAAGCTGCTGTCTGACGAATTCTCACAAATATGATAGTTTTGTAGCTTTGTGTTTTGGACCTTCAATTATCTAATTGGTCAAATATGATGTAAATAAGTATAGAGATTGGTTAATTAAACATACAGAGCTAAATCTGTCTATTGCAGGTCTTTCTTTAGGCCTGAAATGTTATCTAAATTATTAATTAGACATTAACCTATCCAGGCCATAATCAACTCTAGATGGCAGCGCTAGCCTGCGATCTTTAGTGGATTGTGAGCCGATTTAAAGCATAACTTTCCTTCTCGATTTAACGATTAAATGGATAATCAAGACTATGCTGTTTATTGTACTGACTTTAGTAATGATGACCGAGGCTAGGGGAAATTTCAGTCACTTAGTTCTCGGTTCATTGTGGATCAATTTGAATGAAATTTTCAGCAAATTACCTTTACATTATCTAGTTTTTAACTATTATAGTGAGAACTGCCAACTCATTACCGAATCTCTCATAATGTATCTTTGAGCCAAATAATGCAACCATAATTTTCCTATCACTTGTTAAACATGATATTCTTATTCCCACGGAACCAGCTAATGTTTTCCAAATAATAACTCTTTTTCATATACAAATCTGTCACCCATTCACTAATTTGATTTAAAGGAGCTAAATCGCTAACATTTGGGACCTAGAAATTGACACAAGTGGGTCGCAACTCATATAATACTGTAATATTAATGTATGTAAACTGATATACATTCAATGGTTTCCGTTTTTACTCTTATTTCAAATCAGTTATGTTCCGCGAAATAAGCCCGCAGTCTCAATAGAATGCAAATTTCTAGCGCCTGGTTATTCCAGTCTACATACGCTGTTTGGTTTGGTGCAATATGTCTAGCCTCGTTCCTCGAGTCTCTTGCTAGAACTGGGGCTGAAAAACGCATTACGGTACACGATTCGTGTACCAATGGCAAAATGTTTATTTTGTCTTAAATATTGGATATCAGAAGCCCTTTTTCCGGTAAGATCACAGCATCAATGTTGATTTAAATTGACAAATAATTTGTGTTTTCAATGTTGAAGATTTCGGATGATATTGAGTTAGAGACTTAGCTACTTTAAGTACATATTAGACAATATGTTTGAATCCCACAACTTGCCAAAGACATTAATTAATACAATATAATTAGACCCGAGGCTCAGCGCGAAGGGGTGTCCATCAAATGTGCACAAAACCAGACCCTCCTTTTCTAGAGTAAAATTTTGCGTAGAATACGATGCCGAGTTGTAATCAGTCCTCCGTTGGGGCATTTTCGAGATATTCAGGGTCAAAGGTCAAATGAGTTCATTTGCACTGAAAGTGAATGCACAGTCATTCTTGTATTATCAAAAGAAGCTGAAAATGATTGAAAGTAATCACACTTTCAATAAAAATGTAAACTTGCTAAATTCACCTTTGTTCTTTGTGACCCCAGAGGTCAAAAGGTCACATTTTCCGTTTTAGCACTAGGAAGATTTAACAACTATAAACAAATAATATATACATATCAAAATACACGATCAGTGCCAGATTTAGATGAAGAGAGGACCTAGGCTATTACAATTATGATGCCCCTCCCAATCTCCCACCGCTAGAGGAAGATTGAAGAGTGTTTTAAACAAAATTGAGTAAAGCCGAGGATGGTAGCAGGTGTTTAAGACGAAAGAGCGTGTAAGCAAGGCCAATGACAGTGTCAAAAATATTATACACCTTGGCCGGAAGCCCCGTAAATTTTGTGGCCCTAGGCTTAAGTCTGCCAAGCCTATAGGTAAATCTGGCACTGTACATCATAAAATTTTAACCGCTAGGTTTTTCAATAACTAATAAGTCTGGAATGGTTCTTCAATCTTTTAATTACTGGAACTTATATCTTACAAATGACAAAATTCAATACATATAATGTATACCTACAGCACAGTGGATTACCGACGTAGCTGCTACTAAGTCGGGTGACCTAATGACTTGCCTATTGATGTACATTAGCCTTTTTATATTCTAACTATAAATGGATAAACTCAAGTGTTGACATCAAAACATATACTATACAGGATTATCTTTAGAGACATTAAAATAAATAAACAATAATGGATTAAATACTTAACTAATTAGCTTCTATTAAGTTTTATCCTGATTTATATTAACCATGAGAAATTAAATACTATCTAAAACTGACTGGTCATTATGCTTGGTCATATATGCCTCCTCTTCACGATGTGTCGACCTCGACACTCATAAAAAAATAAATTATTAGAGACTACATAAAATGTATATTTTCAGTTTTTCTTCTACTGCTGCAGTAAAACACAAGCTATTATTAACTTGTTCCTATGTATTGACAGTTCAGTTATCTAGCAATTTGTTTCCATAATTTAAGACCTATCCTTGGAATTTGTAATGTGTCATTCTCTGATAAAATTCTGGATCTTCTTTAATTACTTTCTGTATCCATTCCCACTCAGTGAAGCACTCAATCAATGTTCTAGTTCTGTATATCCGTTTTTCAATCTGGAAATACTGTGTTTCTGGATCTTGAAATTGAGCATTTGTTCTAAATCTTTTACCATTTGGATATACAGTTTCATCACATTCATACATTCTTATTTCTGCCTGTGTTGCTGGTTTTGGTAGTTCGTATATGTCACATTTTGGCTTGGGAAATGGTCCAGGAATCTTATTCTTGTTTACCTCAGTCAATGATCTTCCATACTCATCTAGATCATATTCTGAGACCAACGTATTTGCTGTGTGTGGTTTATTTATCCACTTAATTAGATACTCAAATTCGCCATACGGATTACTTCATTTTTGTAAAATTTGATCTATTGGCATACCCAGTTGTGTTGTTGTTTCTGTCCATACTTCCTTGGTGGTTTGAACATGCCCATGATCAATGGTCATGGTTGTGGCTGTAGCCACTATTGTTTTTGCTTGAATATTTTTATCAAATGTATTCCTGCTCTCCGTCTGGGACTCACTGTCTTTTGTTGAACACAACATCCCTTTTTAACAGGACCAACAGTCAAAGAATTCATCTGATTTGAAGTATTCTCTTTATTGAGTAAGACACACCTTTCTTTAAATTTCTGGCATCTAAGAATATCTCTTGTCTTTCTACTAGAAGATTTTGGGTTGTCCTTGTGAGCAGCTGTTTTTATACACCCACATTTTCATGTGGACGTATATTGTCGTCACCCCTGTCCATCCATCCGTCCACAATTGTTTGTGAACAGTCTACAGGTCACAATTTTTATCTGATTTCAATGAAACTTGAAATATAGCTATGAACCCTAAGATCTCGGTTTCTTTCGATATTGGCATGTATCGGACTGTAACTTCATGGATTGTACGAAAAATTACGTGAAATGAAATTAGTGAAATGAAAAAGCCTATTGAATTTCAGCAATTTCCGTTAATTTCTTCTGGAGTTATGGCCCTTGTTTCCCTTGGTTGCACCTTGTGAATGCTCTAAGACAAAAGTTATCAACCGATCTGTATGAAATTTATATGCATCATTTAAATTAGTAAAACAAAGAAGCCTATTGAATTTCAGCAATTTCCGTTAATTACATCTAGAGTTATGGCCCTTGTAGTTATTATCCGATCTGTATGAAATTTATATGTATCATTTAAATTAGTAAAACGAACAAGCCTATTGAGTTTCAGTTATCAGTTAGTGAAATGAAGATGAACAAGCCTATTGAATGTCAGCAATTTCCATCAATTATGTCTAGAGTTATGGCCCTTGATTTACTTTGTTGAACTTTGTGAACATTCGAACAATAAAAGTTATCATCCGATCTGTATGAAATTTATATGCATTATTTGAATTAGTAAAACAAAAAAAGCCTGTTGAATTTGAACAATTTCTGTCGATTGCTTCCAGAGTTACGGCCCTTGTTTTAGTTTTTAGAACCTTGTGAACCTTCAAACAACGAAAATTATAATGTCATCTGTATGAAATTGTCTATTAAATTCCCCTAATTACCTACAAAAGAATAAATATGTGACAGCCCTTGTTGACTGCTTGGACGATTTAGCTGCTGTGGGCGTATGTTTTGTTGCCTGGCAACCTATCTTTTCGTATTCCAGGAGAGCTTTTTTTTTTACCCTCCGGGAATTTATTCACTTGAAGATCTGCTTCAATATACCACTAAATTGAAAGTAAAGAAAATATTAAGATCACTTTAAGACAACAAGCTAGTTTGTTCACATACATGTATATCTCAAAAGTAAAAGTTATCCATCATCTTTATTTCATTTTTCAGCCCAAAATTTTCCAAAATAGTGAAGAAAATAAGTAGCAATGGAAGAATTCGGAATGCAGAAAAAATACCAAACTCTAGGCAGAAAAAAGGTTTAAAAAAAAATTATAATCCCAAATTAACACCAGGATTAGATTCCATGACTGTGGGAAGGTCAAACACTCCAATTTTAGACAATAAAGACCATGAAAACTGTATGGAAACTGCTGCTAATATCTTGAAAACTATTGGTGGTAAATATGTCTACAACGCCGACAGATGTTGTGAAACTGTTGGTGAAACTGTTACTCAAGAATGTCGCCATGAGGATAAGAAACAGGGAGATGCCTTAGAAAGATTAAAAATCGTGCGCGAAAAAAGGAAGTCTCGAGGTGAAATGTCACCAGAAAAACCAGATGTCAGTAATAAATTTCCTCGATATAATTCTGGGTTTTTAGGTTGGCCGTCAGAATCAGAATCTTCTAGTGAGGGTGAAGATTTCATTCCATTAAGATCTGTTTTACCAAAATCAAAGGCATCGGCTAGTTCTATGAATGTAACCAGTAATAGTTTTAAATCTAAGCACAATAGCACCAACTATTCTAATTTCAAGTCTAGTGTATTTGAAGTGAATACCAACTGTGAATCTGGTGTAAGGAAAGTCAAACCAAAAATGTTGAAACGAGTCCTTTCTCTTAACAATAGCTGTGATAAATCACAATATCCTTTCTCTGATTCAATACAAAATTTACCTTGTGATAAGAACGGAAAAATTATAGGTTCAGGATCTTTAAAAAATCATCAAATTAGTACACATAAAGAAATTGATGCAGAAATTCTTCCGACTACAAATTCAACAGCAAGTGGTGCCATAACAAAAATCAAAACATCTGGAAAGGGAAGGGTGAAAGCAAAAATTTCAGGAAGTCCTAGTACTGCTTTAATTCACCCAGCATCGAATTGCGATGACATATTTTCATCACCATTTTTGTATACAGAAAACAAGTGTGTTCCGAGTTTGAATAAAAATAAAAGTTCATCCCCAGCTCTGACAGAGCGAATTAATACGATTCCACAAATGCATTCTCAAAGATTACATGATAATTTGAAACAACAGCAGACATTTCCCAAACTTTCCACATCAACAGAGTCAGGGAATCTAAGTTCTGGGGATGTTTCTGCTTCCCACACACCTCGTATTGATTCACCAGATTTAATTTTGCTTGGTATTTCTCCACCAAACTTAACAGCCACTCAGCGTCGAGGTAAACAACAGAGAACAGGAACAAGAGCAGCTGACCTGCGAAATCATAGAGCTACAAGACAGAGTAAGATATAACCTTAATACTGTATCTTCTACATGTTATAAACCCCCTTTTAAAAAAAGATTGATTAATACTCATCCATGTTTAGTATATAAACAGATTAGCTAAATTAAGATTGAAACGATCGCTCCATTTACATCTCCGTGTGTCCGTTCACAGTTTGTTTGTAGACTCTCTACAGCCACTACAGGTCACAATTTTTATCTGATTTTGATGAAACTTAAAATATAGCTTTATATCCCAAATATCTCAGGGTTTTTATCTGGTTTTGATAAAACTTTAAAGATATGTTTATATCCGAAAGATTTTGGTTCCTTTTGATATTCTCGCATATCGGATGGTAACTTCCTGGATTATGGCCACTGATTTTATGTAAAATCACGTTTTTAGCTTATGAAGCCTCTAGAGGTCACAATTTTTATTTGATTTTAATAAAACGTTCATTATATCACCATTACACAGTAACTGCAGTTCAGTTTGAATTTCGTGAAAATCATGGTTCCTTTTGATTTTGACGCATATTGGACCGTAACATTATGGATTATAGCCCATTATCGTAATCTGTCCATTTGTTGCAAAATGTGAGCAAATCTTGCATGGCAACCGCTTGCTAAAACTGAGCCTTTGTCAGTGTATGACTTACATTATTTAATTATTTTATTTTTTTAAATTCGATAAGAGGATGAGACCTATTGATTTTCCCCATTCCCTGTCCATCTGTTGCAAAATGTGGGCATATCTTGCATGGCAACCGCTTGTTTGAATAACAGATAACATTTCAGCTAACAGAATTCATCATAGTTTGTATTTTCTATAGTAATTATTGCCCGATTATAGTCTTTGGAATGTTATACTTATAGCCGGTAGAAGAATAAATAATATACCAGCTGAAGCCCATGTTGATGATGCTGTACAGGTAATACAACAGATAACTACTGATGAAGATTATGCTAGAAAATTACAGGTCAGTGTACTGTGACATAAAATACTTTTAAAAGCATCTTGCAGGTACATGTATATAACACTTTCACCATGCGGTAATCTTCATTGAACTACACACATGACTGTTATCGATTTTTATACAGCCACATTTTTATGTGGACGTGTATTGTCATTGCCCCTGTCAGTCCGGATGTCTGTTCACAATTTGTTTGTGGACACTCTACAGGTCACAATTTTCATCCAATTTTGATGAGACTTAAATTATAGGCTTATCTCCCCAAAATCTCTGACCGTTATAACTTCATGGAATATGGCCCCAGATTGTACGAAAAATCACATTTTTAGCTTGTGGACACTCTAGAGGTCACAACTTTTATCCAATTTGAAATGTATGTTTATAACCCATAGATCTCGGTTCCATTCAATATTCCCGCAAATCGGACCATAACTTATGGATTATAGCCCCTGATTATACGAAAAATCACATTTTTACCTTATGGTCCCTCTAGAAGTCACAATTTTTATCCGATTTATCTCTGTTATACAAATAGTGTTAAAGTGTGTAATATCAAGGTTGTGGACATCTAGAGGTCACAATTTTGATAGGATTTTGATGAAACATAAAATATGTGTTTAGATCCAAAAGATCTTGGTTCCTTTCGTTATTCGCACATATTGGACTGTAACTTCCTGGATTTTGGCCCCTGATTGTACAAAAAAGGGCGATTTTAGCTTGTGGTTCCTCAAGAGGTCACAGTTTTTATCCGATTTTAAAATTGGTTTAAATATATCACCATTACACCAGGGCTCAAAATTCACGAAAGCCGTGGGGGCCATTGCTGTCGTAAACATGGGAATGGCTGTCGATAGCTTTAACATCGACGGCCAAAACTTGCTGTTGTATATTTCGGTAAAAAAATCAATAAAAATACAACAGCCATTGGCTGTAGAAATACCTTAAATTGCCGTCGAGTATAAATATGCGTTTTTTTCCATAAAACTTGGCTATCTCAATACCTCCCATGATAATTGTCTTTTAAAGCACGACCGTTTGTGTTCTGTGTCTATGATTAACGTTACTAAAAATAGAACAAATTATCAAAGCAGAAATTATATGATTATTAACCCAAAGTAGAGATCTCTTGTGACGCGAGAAATTGCGAGATGGATACGTGAAAATTTTGACATGCACGAATGTCAGAGAAAAGATTCTATTTTGATGGCATTTTCTAGGATTTATAATTATATTTTGAATGGGGGCTTTGTTTTCAAACAAAGAAATACACAAGCTAAAAATATTTAGAAATGTTGGCAAATATTTCAATTGGAATATAGTGTAAGTAGTTTTGTTATCCATAGACGATAGCATGCGAGTCAAGCGCTATATTTAGCAGACGACGTCACTCGGCATCGTGGAGAGACGGTTTTTAACAAAATAAAGTTTCGAAATGTCAATTTGTGTTTTACCTTCATCCATAGGCTATGTCAAGTGGAGAAGGCTTATAAGACGGAAAGGATATATTTAAACTTAAATTTCTCTAACATTTCACTAAAAGATCCCTATTGTAGAACTTCCAACTTATTATGTAGTCATTGTCATGCCGTTTGTTTTTAATAACAGAATTTTCCCGTAATATAACAGATCAAAGAATTTTTTTCGAGACGCATTGTCACGTATCGACTTCTATTTTTAGATTATCTGACGCCTCAAATAGCCCAACCATATCAAAAAGCATGCAGTTTCACCTTGAAATGGGTTCAATTGATTTACGGTTTATTCTATAATTTATAACACAGTTTAGAGCGCAATGTGTAGGAGTCATATTTTTGACTTTTAAGTAGATTCTTATACGGAATTCCGGATGCAATGCTAGACATTTGGACCACTGTTGCTGAACTGATTTGAAAATGCTTAAGGAGCTAAATTGCTAATATTTGGGACCTAGAAATTGACACAAATGGGTCGCAATGCGTACAATAATGTAATTTATGAATGTATATAAATTGATTTACATTCAATCGTTTCTGTTTTTACTGTAATTTCTAATCAGTTAGGTTCGGCGAAATACGCCAGAAGTCTCAATCGAATGGTAATCTCTAGCGTCTGGTTATTTTTAGCTTGTGGACACTCTAGAGGTCACAACTTTTATCCAATTTGAAATGTATGTTTATAACCCATAGATCTCGGTTCCATTCAATATTCCCGCAAATCGGACCATAACTTATGGATTATAGCCCCTGATTATACGAAAAATCACATTTTTACCTTATGGTCCCTCTAGAAGTCACAATTTTTATCCGATTTATCTCTGTTATACAAATAGTGTTAAAGTGTGTAATATCAAGGTTGTGGATATCTAGAGGTCACAATTTTGATAGGATTTTGATGAAACATAAAATATGTGTTTAGATCCAAAAGATCTTGGTTCCTTTCGTTATTCGCACATATTGGACTGTAACTTCCTGGATTTTGGCCCCTGATTGTACAAAAAAGGGCGATTTTAGCTTGTGGTTCCTCTAGAGGTCACAGTTTTTATCCGATTTTAAAATTGGTTTAAATATATCACCATTACACCAGGGCTCAAAATTCACGAAAGCCGTGGGGGCCATTGCTGTCGTAAACATGGGAATGGCTGTCGATAGCTTTAACATCGACGGCCAAAACTTGCTGTTGTATATTTCGGTAAAAAAATCAATAAAAATACAACAGCCATTGGCTGTAGAAATACCTTAAATTGCCGTCGAGTATAAATATGCGTTTTTTTCCATAAAACTTGGCTATCTCAATACCTCCCATGATAATTGTCTTTTAAAGCACGACCGTTTGTGTTCTGTGTCTATGATTAACGTTACTAAAAATAGAACAAATTATCAAAGCAGAAATTATATGATTATTAACCCAAAGTAGAGATCTCTTGTGACGCGAGAAATTGCGAGATGGATACGTGAAAATTTTGACATGCACGAATGTCAGAGAAAAGATTCTATTTTGATGGCATTTTCTAGGATTTATAATTATATTTTGAATGGGGGCTTTGTTTTCAAACAAAGAAATACACAAGCTAAAAATATTTAGAAATGTTGGCAAATATTTCAATTGGAATATAGTGTAAGTAGTTTTGTTATCCATAGACGATAGCATGCGAGTCAAGCGCTATATTTAGCAGACGACGTCACTCGGCATCGTGGAGAGACGGTTTTTAACAAAATAAAGTTTCGAAATGTCAATTTGTGTTTTACCTTCATCCATAGGCTATGTCAAGTGGAGAAGGCTTATAAGACGGAAAGGATATATTTAAACTTAAATTTCTCTAACATTTCACTAAAAGATCCCTATTGTAGAACTTCCAACTTATTATGTAGTCATTGTCATGCCGTTTGTTTTTAATAACAGAATTTTCCCGTAATATAACAGATCAAAGAATTTTTTTCGAGACGCATTGTCACGTATCGACTTCTATTTTTAGATTATCTGACGCCTCAAATAGCCCAACCATATCAAAAAGCATGCAGTTTCACCTTGAAATGGGTTCAATTGATTTACGGTTTATTCTATAATTTATAACACAGTTTAGAGCGCAATGTGTAGGAGTCATATTTTTGACTTTTAAGTAGATTCTTATACGGAATTCCGGATGCAATGCTACACATTTGGACCACTGTTGCTGAACTGATTTGAAAATGCTTAAGGAGCTAAATTGCTAATATTTGGGACCTAGAAATTGACACAAATGGGTCGCAATGCGTACAATAATGTAATTTATGAATGTATATAAATTGATTTACATTCAATCGTTTCTGTTTTTACTGTAATTTCTAATCAGTTAGGTTCGGCGAAATACGCCAGAAGTCTCAATCGAATGGTAATCTCTAGCGTCTGGTTATTTTTAGCTTGTGGACACTCTAGAGGTCACAACTTTTATCCAATTTGAAATGTATGTTTATAACCCATAGATCTCGGTTCCATTCAATATTCCCGCAAATCGGACCATAACTTATGGATTATAGCCCCTGATTATACGAAAAATCACATTTTTACCTTATGGTCCCTCTAGAAGTCACAATTTTTATCCGATTTATCTCTGTTATACAAATAGTGTTAAAGTGTGTAATATCAAGGTTGTGGACATCTAGAGGTCACAATTTTGATAGGATTTTGATGAAACATAAAATATGTGTTTAGATCCAAAAGATCTTGGTTCCTTTCGTTATTCGCACATATTGGACTGTAACTTCCTGGATTTTGGCCCCTGATTGTACAAAAAAGGGCGATTTTAGCTTGTGGTTCCTCAAGAGGTCACAGTTTTTATCCGATTTTAAAATTGGTTTAAATATATCACCATTACACCAGGGCTCAAAATTCACGAAAGCCGTGGGGGCCATTGCTGTCGTAAACATGGGAATGGCTGTCGATAGCTTTAACATCGACGGCCAAAACTTGCTGTTGTATATTTCGGTAAAAAAATCAATAAAAATACAACAGCCATTGGCTGTAGAAATACCTTAAATTGCCGTCGAGTATAAATATGCGTTTTTTTCCATAAAACTTGGCTATCTCAATACCTCCCATGATAATTGTCTTTTAAAGCACGACCGTTTGTGTTCTGTGTCTATGATTAACGTTACTAAAAATAGAACAAATTATCAAAGCAGAAATTATATGATTATTAACCCAAAGTAGAGATCTCTTGTGACGCGAGAAATTGCGAGATGGATACGTGAAAATTTTGACATGCACGAATGTCAGAGAAAAGATTCTATTTTGATGGCATTTTCTAGGATTTATAATTATATTTTGAATGGGGGCTTTGTTTTCAAACAAAGAAATACACAAGCTAAAAATATTTAGAAATGTTGGCAAATATTTCAATTGGAATATAGTGTAAGTAGTTTTGTTATCCATAGACGATAGCATGCGAGTCAAGCGCTATATTTAGCAGACGACGTCACTCGGCATCGTGGAGAGACGGTTTTTAACAAAATAAAGTTTCGAAATGTCAATTTGTGTTTTACCTTCATCCA